AAAATAAGAGTTTAGAGAGAAAGTGTTTGAAATGGAAGACAGACAAAAATGATCCAACATATGTATAACTGGAGTTACTGAAGAAGAAAACAAAACAATAGAACAGAACCAAGAGTTGAAATTATAACCCAAGAAAATTTTCTAGAAATAAAGCAAGATCTAAATACTCTCACAGCCCCCAGAAAAAAAAAAAAAGCCTAAAAACATTTAAGTGTAATAGAGTGTAATAGAGTTAGAATGACAGAAGGCTTATCAAAATCAACAGACATTGCAAAGTATAAATGAAGCAGCATTTTGAAGAAATTTAAGAGAAAAAAGTGAGAACCAAAGATTTCACAGCCAAGCTATCCTCTGAGAATAGTTACAACATTCAAGAATCTCAGGAATGCTATATCCATGGGTCCTTCTTGAATCTGTTGAAGAATGACCTTTACCCAACCAAAAATTTTGGGAAAATTCCAGCATAAGGCTTTATGGGGAGCATTTAATTTATTTAAAGACTAAAACAAAAGTAGGGGCAAGGGTGGAAGAGTAATATATAAATGTTGTAAATTCTAGCAATGTAGTAAGTAATGCAACTAAAACTATTGTAAAACTATTCTAAAACCATAGTGGAAAAAAGCAGACACGGTTTATTGAAAATTCAATAGACAACAGATGGGAGTCAAAGATACCATTAAAAAACTGGCAAACAAAAAGGCCAAAGGAGAAAACAGGAACTACGAGCATTTTTAAAAGTACAAGAAACTATTTAAACAAAAACACAAGCTTTCCTAAATATCAAAATAAATTTTAAAACAAAAAACAAATGTGGGGCTAGCATTGTGGCACAGTGGGTTAAGCCAATGCTTTTGACACTAGCCATGTCAGAATGCCCTTTAGAGTCCTGGCTGCTCTGCTTTCATTCCAGCTTCTGCTTGTGTACCTGGTAGCAGATGGTGGCCCAAGTACTTGGGCCTCTAACACCCATGTGGGCACCAGGATGGGCTTCCTGCCTCCTGGCTTCATCTGGCTCAGACCTGGCTATGTGGCCATTTGGGGAGTGTACTAACAGATGGAAGATCTGTCTCTGTCCCTCTCTTTTTGTCACTCTACCTTTCAAATAAATCTTTTTCTGTTTGTTAGAAAATACAACAGAAGGAAACACGTATCAATTACATCATAAAACAATATGATAGAGACCAATACTGCCATATTAATAAATATGAATGGCCTTGACTCATTTATTTATTTTTTATAGTGATTCCCTTTTTTTAAAGAAAGATTTATTTATTTGTAAGTCAGAGTTAAAGAGAGGTAGAGACTGAGAGACAGAGTTCCTCCTCCTGCTGGTTCACTCCCCAAATGGCCGCAATGGCCAGAGCAAGGCTGGTCCGAAGCCAGGAGCCTGGAGCTGCCTCTGGGCCTCCCACACAGGGGCAGGGGCCCCAGCACTTGAATCATCCTCCACTGCTTTCCCAGGCACATTAGCAGGGAGCTGGATTGGAAGTGAGGCAGCCAGGACTCGAGCCAGTGCCCATATGGGATGCCAGCACTGCAGGTCACAGTTTTACCTATCATGCCACAGCACCGGCCAGTAGAGTTTCCTGAGTTACCCATTCTGTGTCTCTTGACAGGGCATGTAGGTGTAGTGTGGAGTGTGTATCTGAGCTTGGGATGGGGTAGAGACCCAGAAAGAAGAGAAGGCATTCGTTCTAGGACATCCCTGTGTGAGATGATTCTGTGCATTCCCATGGAGTGTCATCGTGTGGTCTGCCAGTGGATCTGGGGTTCAGGTAAGAAGGAAGGAATTCCCACTGATGATAACTCGGGGGCAGGCCTGGAGAGCTGCAGCTGGAACCACAGCTCCTCTGTGGTGGTTCTGCCTCGCTTTGGTTCCTGCATGCACACTCAGCCTCATTGTCCATGAGGGCCTTGCAAACAGAAAATATTGTGAGGTCACCAGGGACTGTTTCCTGGAGGTTTGTTTTATTGTATTCAGCAGTTTGGGTGATGTGACTAAGAGATCAAAACAGTAGTCTGAGGAATCAGTCAGTGTTGAACTTGTTGGGGAAAAAGGAAAAGCATAGTGTCGCTCCCCCTCTTCGTGGAGGAACGACACTAAGCCCTGCCTAGGCTTCATATCCGAGTCACGGCACCATTATGTCGCTCCCCCTCTTCGTGGAGGAACGACACAGGACCCTGCGCTGTTCTTTTGTCTGCTCGGCCCTCCCCGGGTTTGCTGCTGGTTCTTCCCGGGTTGGCTACTGACCCTTCCACCTCCGTGGAAGGGCGGTTCCCCCTGCCACTTTCCCCACTTCCACGGGGGAGCGGCACACCGCCGGCCGGCTCTCTCGGGGGCTGCACAGGTGTTCCTTCAGATAGATGTTCCTGGTGCATGTTGTCTCTCTCCTCCTTTATAGTCCTCTTCCACCAATCCCAACTCTGCTACCCACACGCCGAGTACGCTGCTCTCCTCCAATCAGGAGCAGGTCCTGCTGTTTATTGGTTGAACTGGAGGCAGCTGTGTAGAAGCTGTTTCCTCCTCTCCCAGCGCCATATTGTGGGAGAGCAGATGCATAGAATAAGTCTTAATTCCAGTAACTTAGTCTAGTCCGAGTTGCTCCCCACAGCATAGCTCAGTATCAAACCAAATACCTAGAATGAAATAAGAGAATAACTCATGATTAAAGATCCATAGTTCGGGGCCGGCGCTGCGGCGCAGCAGGTTAAGCTGCCATCTCCAGCTGCAGCATCCCAGTTCAAGTTCCAGCTGCTCCACTTCCGATCCAGTTCCCTGCTGATGTGCCTGGGAGAGCAGTGGAAGATGGCTCAAGTGCTTTGGCCCCTACGCCTGCATGGAAGACCCAAAAGAAGCTCCTGGCTCCTGGCTTCAGTCTGGCGCACCCCCAGCCATTGCAGCCATTTGGGGAGTGAACCAGCAGATTAAAGATGCTCTCTCTCTCTCTTCCTCCTCCCTTCCTCCCTCTCTCCCTCTCCCTTCCCCTCTCCCTCTCTCTGTAATTCTTTCAAAATAAATAGAAATTCATAGTTCACCTTTTACTCATATTCACATTTCCTCCAGGAGCTGTAACGCTCACCAAGTGTGTTAAATTCACAGGGCTGTGCAGCTTCCTGGTTTCTCCTCTCCTCTTTCCAGCCACCTATTTGTAGGTTTATGAAAGGCAAACGTTTGCATGCTTTTATCTCAGTCTCTTTCAGAGAATAATAAGCAGGTTAAAATACGTTAACAGAGTCAGTGTTGGATTTTCCATGTGTTACTGGAGTGTGTGTGCCTCAGTTTGTCCCTTTAATAAGAGACACAGAGGCAGGCCTTGTTAATCAACCACGTCATACACCCATAGGCTGTATTGGAAGCACCTGATTTGAGTCTGGGCTACTCTGTGCTTCTGATTCAGCTTCTTGCTAATGCTCCAAGGGCAGCAGATGATGGCTCAAGCGCTCGGGTTCCTGCCGTCTGTGGAGGAGACCCAGTTGGAGTTCTGGACTCCTGACTTTGGCCTGACCTCGTCCTGGCTGTTGCAGCCATCCGAGGAGTAAACAGCAGATGGAGGATATCTTGCTCAATCTCTTGCTTTCTGTCGTTCACTTGCTCTCTGTCTTCTGCCTTGCAAATAAATATTTTTGTAAAAGATAGGCAATAGGATCCACTAAATAAAAAAGTGTAAAATAGTAAGTTAGTACTTTGAAAAAAGTGGTCAACTCTTTAACTTGATGTTTTAGTAATAAAATACCTGGATAAAATAGGTCTTTGAATTGTGTATTCTTGTGAATTAACCAAGAGGAAAATGTGTAGTGATTAAAATTGGTCTTTGGAGGACAGGCATTTGGCCTAGTGGCTAAGGAGCCCGTGCTCCCTATCAGAGTCCTGGATTCTAAACCTGATTCCAGCTTCCTGCTAATGTAAGCCCTGGGAGAAGGCAGTGAAGTAATTGGATTCCTGCCACCCAAGGAGGAAGCCTGCATCCAGTTCTTTGCCGCCAGCTTCAGGTCAGGCCTACCACCAGCCCAGCCCCAACTGTCCCAAGCACCTGGGGAGTGAACCAGTGTATGAGAGTTCTGTCCCTCTCCCCCTGTCCTGCCCCCTCCCTCCCTCCATGTCTGAAATAAAATCTAATTTTTTTAATTGTCATTTTTGGAACCCAACTCCCTGGGTTCTAATTCCATACTAGATTCACTGTTCCTCAGTCTTCTCATCTGTATAATTGGGTAGAAATAGCATCTACGTCATAGAGTATTTGTGCAGGTTGTAAGTAATTTGCATAGAACAGTGTTACTGTGTTACTAATTCATTTCATTACATTGACCTTATTCATCATTTGAAATGTAATACAGTCACTGAAAGTTCACATAGGGGTGATGCAAGACAGAAAAGTCAACCCAGTATATACACAAAAATCAACATGGACATGGATTTATCTATGGATATGTAAATTTGTATATAAATATATAGATATATGTTTATTGCTTACAGCAATAAATGTAGACCTAAGAGGATTTTGTTGTTACTGTTTTTAAAAGCTGTGTTGTTCAACAGTCGACATTTTATCTTTCTTCTCTCCACCAGGCAGAAGTAGAGTACTTTGTTCCCTGTCTTGTTCCACAGCTCTTCCTAACCATTGTGGTATTCACGTGAATTAGGAGGGAAAAGATAACACCGTATTCGAGACTACGAGATGTTCCTTCAGCTGGATTGTACAGCATCATATTTCAGTTATTTACTTGGAGATGATGAAAACAGTACATTGGATAAGATCCCTTTCCATAAATATCTTTAATTCAACTGAAGAAAACACAGACCCATTAACAGAAATAACGTGTGAAACCTGGAAAAAATCCATAGGACTGAACCAAACAAAAATAACATCCAATATTTTTAAGTGGATTTAAAATTAGTTGATGGAAATAAACCTTTGACATCCTGGGTAAATTGGGATTATATAAACTATGAGAACAATGTCCTTTAAACTTGATTAAGGTGAGTCAATCTTATTTTCCAGGTGCGACATAACAGTGCAAGTCAATCCATAAATAATTTAAGTCACTTCAACTATAATGGAAAAGTACGAAAAATTAGCTAAGATTGGAGAAGGATCCTACGGGGTTGTATTCAAATGTAGAAATAAATCTTCTGGACAGATAGTTGCAATTAAAAAATTTGTGGAATCTGAAGATGATCCTGTTGTGAAGAAAATCGCGCTAAGAGAAATTCGTATGTTGAAAGTGAGTTAACATTCCCTGTATATCCATAATGAGGCATTGGGTGAAATATATGTGTTAAAATTACCAAGAATTATAAGGAATGTGCATTTTTTACGTTGGACTCAAGTTCCTTGGTGTCAGTGACTTTGGGAAATGAGATGATCAATCACTTTGGACTTTTTGATTACTCCCATGTTTTTCTGATATATTTATGAGGATGGTTGTGGATGGTTAAAATACTTCCATTCTGGTTGGTAAATATCCATGCTGTCCTAGGTCCCCCTCCCTAACCATGGCCCTTCTCTGAAATCTCTCAATGCATTTCTCCCACCTACCAGCAACTGCAAAAGCAGCCCCTGGCACAGAGGGCCCCACAGGGCTGTGTCACTGCCCTCAGAAGCATTGACATTGATTGTTCCCTGCCTGCAACGTACTGGCTCCAGAGATAGAGCGGATGTCACTCGCAGTGACGTAAACCTTGTTTCCATAAAGGTTTTTATGATCGTTTTTACCCTGATAGGATTTGATATATAATATCCCATGAAAAAAAATTTTAGAACCATATGGCCTAGGGCAGTGTTTCTCAAATGTTCGTGTGCATAGGAATCCGCTGGGCATCTTGAAATGCAGGTTCTGAGATGGGAGGTCTGGGAGAGGCTTTAGATCCTGAGATTTCTGCCGGATCGTAAGAACCTGTGATTGCAAGAACACACAGCCCGCCTTGTGAAGTGGATGAAGGAGGATAATAACCATTATGTCACATATCCTTTTCAAATATCATTTGTAGCATCTTTCTTCACCAAATTTGTGTAAAATACAATTTGATAGTTTTCAAAAACACGACCATCAGGATAAAAAGCACATCACTGTCATTTCTTGGCCAGCAGAGGGCGCCAGTCAGCCAGCCAGCTCTAGAGCCCTTCCCTGGCAAGCTACAGGGTTGGTCTGAACCCTGCAGTGTTGTTTTCAAATAAAAACAATGCGTTTTCCTGCCTCTGCCTCCTCTTCCCAGGTCTTCAGATAGAATCAGTGCTCAGGTAGAACCTTCTGGGTTACAAGTACCCCAATAAGAGCATGAGCTTTTAGGTAAAAAGTGGCCACATTTCCCCTCAGCATGGTCTCTGCTCTCCCAGACAGCACATCTGTGTGTTGCATCCACACGTGCCCTAAACACATTCCTTCCCTAATAAATTCACCTTCCATTCTGCACAGGCTCGTATTATTTTAAATTGTATTTGTTTCCCTCTCCTTACTACCTGTTTTCCTTCAGGCAAGTCCATTTTTCTGGGCTAACTGAACTTGCTTGCAAAGATGTAAATTGCTGGTCTTCCCAAAGATGGGAGATTTAACCGGGGGAAACCTTGACATTGCATCAAGCGATAGCATCTGTGCATCCCTCGCTCCCCTGAGCGGAGCACTCTGCACTTCATTCTGTGGCTTTGCCCTAGCACAAGCAGCTGGCTCGTGCATATGACCTGTGTCTTCTGCCCTTTAAGCCTGTAGGGCACAAAGAAATCGTTTGGTGCACTGGGCATATTTCTAAAATTAAATGGATTTTCTTTTCCCAAACTGATGAGCAAGAGGCACACAGTTGTAGGGTGTTTTTTTTTTTTTTTTTAATTTTGGTCAAGCCATGCTTACAGATACTGAGGTAGCAACATGCAGTGGAAGGCCCTGCACTTGAGACCCTGTACTGGGCCTACATGGTACTGACTGAGTTTGTGCTGTAGGCAAAGTACTGTGTCCTCTCTCCTTATAAATCTTTCTGTGTAAATGGTACAGAGTGGAAAGTTGATTTGTCTGCTCTCCTGGGAAAACAGGATGCATTATAAATAGGAGTGATTATATACCCTGGTTTGCTTGGAACAGTCCTGGTTTATAGTTTTTGGCCCGGAGGACTCTCTGGTTAAGCATGCCCTTTCAGAAGTGTGGTAGCATGTTTGTTAGGTTATATGAATATGGTCTCCCTAGTTACAGGCAGGGTGACCATGTGTGCAGTTTGTTGGGACAGTTCTGGTTTTTATGTTATGCTGGTTTGGGTGATAAATTATATAGTCACAGTAGAGGCGGATTATCTGACTTAATCAATGTTTTCCCTTTGGCTTCAATACAAAACAGAGGCTGCCTTGTGCACTGCTTCAGTCTGGGAATATAATTTAACACATAAAGCATCTACACTTTGGGGACAGCACTGTGGCAGAGTAGACTAAGCCTCCACCTGCAATGCCAGCATCCCATATGGGCGCAGGTTTGAGTCCCAGCTGCTCCACTTCTGATCCAGCTCCCTACTAATGCTCATGGGAAAGCAGTGGAAGACGGCCCCAGTGCTTGGGCCCCTGTGCTTACATGGGAGACCTCAAAGAAGCTCCTGGGTTTGGATCCGCCTAGCTCTGGCCTTTGCGGCCATGTGGGGAGTGAATCAGCAGATGGAAGTCCTTTCTGTTTGAATCTCCTTCTCTCAGTCTGTAACTCTGCTTCTCAAATAAATAAATAAAATCTTTAAAACACACACACACACACACACACAAGAAAGAACAACAGAATCAAAATTCTGAGCTGAAAATACAGTAAGGTTAAAAGCACAAGCTTACTGAGGAGACTTTTTTTTTTTTTTTTTGACAGGCAGAGTTAGAGAGAGAGATAGAGAGAAAGGTCTTCCTTCTGATGGTTCACCCCCCCAAATGGCCGCTACGGCTGGCGCTGCGCCGATCTGAAGCCAGGAGCCAGGTGCTTCCTCCTGGTCTCCCATGCGGGTGCAGGGTCCAAGCACTTGGGCCATCCTCCACTGCCTTCCCGGGCCACAGCAGAGAGCTGGACTGGAAGAGGGGCAACTGGGACAGAATCTGGCACCCCAACCAGGACTAGAACCCGGGGTGCCGGCGCTGCAGGCAGAGGATTAGCCTAGTGAGCTGCGGTGCCAGCCGAGGAGACTTCTTAGAATAAGTAGTTTAATCATATTTGAAAGTTGTGAGTTAGTGTGCAGGGTCTTCAAAAAGTTCATGGAAATACACATTATGAGAAAGCTCTTCATGGATTTCAAAAATTGTTTGCATCTATATAAATTTATATTTATATTTATTTATTTGAAAGGCAAAATTCAAAAGAAGGAGAGACAGAGACGTTCCATCCTCTGGTTCACTTCCTCAGATGGTCACAACGACCAGGGCTGGGCCAGGCTGAAGCCAGGAGCCAAGAGCTTCTTCTGTGTCTCCCATGTGGGTGCAGGGGCCCACACACTTGATCCGCCTTATGCTACTTTCCCAAGCACATCAGCAGGGAGCTGGATCAGAAGTGGAGCAGTGGGACTTGAGCCAGTGCCCACATGGGATGCCAGCACTGTGGGCCACAGTTTAATCCACTGAGCCACAGTACCAGCTCTATAAACTTATCCCTTAATCCCATTTTCCCATATTGCTTAGAGCCAACACCAGAATCCAGACTGAGTCTAAATCTAGCTGACCAAAAACAAAAAACAAACCTGTAAAATGAAAGAAATAAACCCAGCTGACATTTATAGTAAATTCTTGGCAGCATGTAAGCTAATTGGGTATTGATTATTTTCATAATCTTTTTCTCAATAATTCCATTGCCTGAGGGTTTTTTATTAAAATTTATTTAATAAATAAGAGAGAGAAAGGAAGAGACAGAGAGAGGTCTTCCATCCGCTGGTTCACTCACCAAATGGCCCAAACAACTGGGGCTGGGCCAGGCAGAAGCCAGGATCCGGGAACTCCATCTGAATCTCCCACAAGGGTGTAGAGGCCCAGTCATTTGGGCCAAATTCTGCTGCTTTCCCAGGTGCATTACCAGGGGGCTGGATTAGAAGTGGAGCAGCCAGGACTCAAACCTGCACCCATATGCAGGTGGCAGCTTAACCCACTGCACCATAATACCAGCTCCTGCTTCAATTTTTTATTCAGGTTATTTTATAAATTGGATATTTAGCGTTTACATAAAATGCTCACAGTATGTTTGATCTCAGTGGTTGTATTGTAACGTGTATATTCTATTTGCTGTCATCAGAGATATTCAGGCACTTTCATTACCATCAATTATGGCTGCATTAGATGAAAACTCTGTCTATGACTTACTAAGAGCAGTTTCTCTTCTGAGTGTAATCAAATTATACACAAGAGATGCACACAGCAAGGTCTTGAAGTTGTGAAAAGCGTGGGGAGGAACTGTTACTGGAAACAGATCATTAAACCTTGTATTTCAATTCCTTTGCAGCAATTAAAACACCCAAACCTTGTGAACCTCATTGAGGTGTTCAGGAGGAAAAGGAAAATGCATTTAGTTTTTGAATACTGTGATCATACACTTTTAAATGAGCTGGAAAGAAACCCAAATGGGTAAGTTTTCGAGAAACTTAAGATCTGTGTGGCCAGTTCTCCGTTTCATTACATAGTAGAATTCTCTATGGCAAATTGCAAATGCACAGCCATTCGCATTGTCTACCCAGATAGCTACCCATCTCTGAACTCAGGATGTGCTCGAAGGGAGAACAGATACTAACCTAGAAGAAATATAAGTGGAAAGACAAATGTATCACAAATATACATCACCGTGCTTTTTGAGGCTGACATACTGGATTATGAAAGCTCAAGGAATGACCCCTGCTTTGACATTAGGAAATGTAGTTGTATAATTCACTAATAAATTAAAGGATAAAAAAGTACACACAACTGATAAAATTTGAAATGTTGATAAATTCAGTGTCCTTTCCTGATTATTAAAAAAAAAAAAGCATGGTGAGCACAGTATTAAATGTGTGTTAATTTGTAAACTAGTTTATACATTAATATAGCCAAACACACCCACCCTCATCCCCCAAGTCAACGTGCAAACCCCTGCTGGCTCATGATAAAGTTGGAATATGAATTAATATACCATCTAACTGTCTTCATATTAAGTTTTTCTTTAAAAGTAATATGCATACATACATCCATTAGAAAATAAGCAGCATTCAAAGTTTTCAGTTTTACTTAGCATTCTGTTGTATTCGTATTCCATTCATGAATATTTACCTGGGATGTTAGTCTTTTTAACAGCACACTTTTGAATGGGCTATATGCATATTGCACCATTGTATAGATAAACTAACATGTACATAACCAAATTTTTACTATTGGAAGATTAGGTACTTTTTTTGTTAAAATATAGTATGGTGTGTTGAACACTCTTATGTATAGTTTTTTACCCCTATCTGATTGTTTTCTTATTATACATTTCTCTGAGTGGAATTTATTTATTTATTTGAGAGGCAGAATTACTGAGAGTGGGAGAGGGAGAGACAGAGAAGAGGTTCTCCATGTGCTAGTCCACTTCCCAAATGACCACAACAGCCAGAACTGGGCCTTTCTGAAGCCAGGAGCCAGGAGCTTCTTCCAGGTCTTCCATGAAGGTGCAGAGGGGCGCCCCAAGCACTTGGGCCATCTTCCACTACTTTCCCAGGCCATCAGCAAGGAGTTGGATCGAAAGTGGAGCAGCTGGGGTTTGAACTGGCACCCATATGGGATGCGGGTACCATAGGCGGAGGCTTAGCCTACTGCAACACCAGCCCCTCTAAATGGAATTTCTTAGTCAAATGATGAAAACAGTTTAAAAATTGTTGATATATATTGCCAAATTTCCCTCCTAACTATACTATCTCTAGCCATGAATGAGAGGGTCTGATTCCTTGATTGTTGATAATACTGGGTATATTGGTTTTATAAAAAATCTGTCCAAATTTAATAGATGAGAAATAGTACCTTATTTTAAATTTATTTAATTTATTTGATTAATGGGAGAGAGAGAACATTCACTGTTCTCTACCTTTTTTTTTTTAGAAGATTTATTTATTTATTTGCAAGTCAGAGTTACAGAGAGAGAAGAGAGGCAGAGAGAGAGAGAGAGGTTTTCTATCCAATGGTTCAGTTTCCAGGTGGCCACAATGGCCGGAGCTGCGCCAATCCGAAGCCAGGAGCTTCTTCCTGGTCTCCCACATGGGTGCAGGGACGCAAGGACTTGGGCCATCTTCTACTGCTTTCCCAGGCCATAGCAGAGAGCTGGATGGGAAGTGGAGCAGTCAGGTCTTGAACTGGCACCCATATGGGATGCTGGCGCTTCAGGCAAGGGCATTAACCCGCTGTGCCACAGTGCCGGTCCCCCTCCTTAACTTTTTAATGATTTGTTTTTTCCATGTGCCCTAGAATGTAAGCTCCAACTTCTGTTGGCCCTGGGGAATCAGGGAAGATTCTACAGAGAAGGTGACATTTGGGCTAAACCTTTGAAATGGGGAGAAGTTGGCTAGATGGACAATCTGGGAGGAGTGCCCAGGCCACTCCAACGTTCAAGATGTAGTTAACACCCCCAGAGCATCTGTGAGCAGTCCAGTCTGAATTGCTTGACTGTGTTATTCTTCAGTCTTGAACTGGGATGCCTTGTTTCTGTTTTAAGGCCTTCATCATTCCTTTAGTGTTTCTCAGTGTCAGTATTTAATCCCCTGTACCTGTAGTCTAAGATCCCACCCAGCGTTCCGATCCTGCATGGATAGGACAGTGTGCTGCATCCCTGCCAGTCCCCCTAAGGGTCGAAATCCATTTCCCTGCCTTCCCAGCCCTATCATCCTAATCTGGGTCACCAGCTCTCACCTGGGTTGTTGAATGACTTTCCTAACCAGCCTTCCCGTCTCCACATTGCCCCCAGAAATCCATTCTCCGTGTTTTGTCAGTTCCTTGCTTCATTCTTTCCAGGGCTTTAGATTTAGAGTGAAACCCTAATTCCTGACCAAGATCTGGATCCATAAGGCCGTCCAGGGTTCAGCCTACTCCAGGCGTCCACGTTTTTCACTCAGGCTTCAGCCACGCTGGCCTCCGTGATGGTTTTCCCACACTCCCAGCTCTCTCTTCCCTCAGGGCCTGTTGCTATCCTTTTGTGGCTGTACAGAGGTCTCAACTCCATCTACTGGCCTCATCTGATCGCAAGCCCTCTTCTCCTGAACCTCTGTGGGTGATAAAACCCAAGCATATTTGTGGAGTTGATTACTTTTTTTTTTTTTAAAGATTATTTATTTAAAAGGCAGAGCAACAAAGAGAAAGGGATGGAGACACAGAGGTCTTCCATCCGCTGATTCACTCCTCACGTGGCTGCAACAGCCAGGGGTGGGCCAGGCTGGAACAAGGAGCCAGGAGCCCCATCCTGGTCTCCCACTTCTTCCCCGCTGCTTTGGTGGGGAGCTGGATTAGAAGCAGAGCAGCCGGGACTCGAGCCAGCTCTCCAGTGTGGATGCTGACATCGCAAGCGGCAGCTTAGCCTGCTGCCCCACAGGGCCAGCACTAGTTAGTCACAGTTTTAAACGTGAGGAAAATTGAAAGTACAGAGATCTTAAATAATTTGCCCAAGGTTGAAATCCAGGAAGCAGAACAGCTGGGATTCAAACTCTGTCAGCTCCCATAAGTGCTCAAATTGCTGTCACACTATTCTTTCTGCCTCTTGCATTAAAAAGAAACAGTTTAAACAATGTTGGTTCAGGTTGGGCTTTAGGTACAAAGGAAAGGGCAAAATTCTGTTAGTATTCAGTACAGAAAATGGACATTTCAAGTGTAAAGGGATTTTTGTGTTGTTTTCTTAAGAGTCAGAGAGAGAGTGAGCACACTTCTATCCGCTGGCTCACTCCCCAAATACCTGCAACAGCCAAGGCTGGACAGGGGTAGGAGTGGTCCAGGGCTGAGCTGGGTCTGAAGCCAGGAGCCAAGATCACATTCAGGTCTCTCATGTAGGTGGCGGAATCCCAGTTACTGAAGTCATCACCACTGCCCACCAGGGCCTGCCTTAGCTGGAAGCTGGAGTCAGGAACCAAGCCAGAAGTCAAACTCGGGCAGTCCAGTGTGGGAGCCAGGCATCTTGACTGCCAGGCTAAGTGTCCACTCTCATGGAAGAGAGACAGGATTGAGAATTGGGTGCTTCTACAACAGTTAGAAAAGTCAAAGTCAAGGGTCGTGCCAGACCCCTGATGTCAAGGGTGTGCCACTATAATTGTGATCCGAGATCAGGAAGCTTTTCTGAGAAAAATACCTCCCCTCGGTGCTTTCTGCTTCTCTGCATACAGTCCGGCCTCACGTGGTTGTTCATTGTAGCTGTGCCTTTAGTCTTCATGGACTGTCCCACGGTAAAACCAGCTACATCTGTATAAGTTCAAAAATGATCTAAATATATGATTTAAAATCCAAAAATGACAAAGTACAAATATGAATGAGAGATATGTTTGAAGTATTACAAAATTACAAATTTTTGCAATTAAAAAAATCCTTATAGTAGACATTTAGTAAAAGAAACCCTTGGAAAATACGCAAACAGCCCCATCCCCGTCGAGGGGGCTGGAAAACAACCCACAGAGAGGAATGTTTGCAGCATATGTAACAGACCCTGATAAAATCAGAGCCTCTGTAAGTCAAGAAACAAGTGAACAGCCCAGTCAAACAATGAATGGTGGCACACAAGAGAAGAACCACGGTGTCCAGTGGTCTTGTAGAAATTAATAACCACTGAAGAGTAATGAATTACAGCTAATAACCAAAACAAGACATCTTTTTATTTTAACCAGATTGGCAAACCTAAATGTTGGCAAGACAGTGAGGAGCTAGGGACTTAGACACACAGATGTTAGGTGGGAGTGTAAGTGGGTATAACCTTCCCCAGAGAGGACAGTTTGGCAGTGTGTAAATGTGAAAGCATCGTCATGGGACAGAGATGGGAGGGATAGGAAAGCACCAACAGCGAAGTTAGAGAGAATGTAGCTGCTGTACCTTAGGAGAGATGGTTACATAAAGCAGAATTCTCCTGACAGATGCAGAGTTCCCAGGTCCCCAGTTCTCCAGTGGAAAATACACAGCGTGACAATTCTGCCCGGACATGAGGCTCACAGCCTCCGATTCTTACAGGACCTTCATTCTCCCTGGCTGGTGTTTGCTCAAGCCTGCCTATACACCAGGTGTACATAACTGTTAGAAAATAACTCCAGCACATGCTTGAGTGTTTACCATGAACATGAACTAGGTGAATTCAACCACCCTCTTCCAATTATACCTTTTGCCCTGCAAAAAGTCTCTACCTCACGTTTATCACTGCAGGATCAAAATATAACATATACCTACCATTGAGTTTTAAAAATCCCACTTCTGAGTTTATCTTAATGAAATAATTGTACAACTGCAATAAGGTGGATGATTACAGATATTGATGGAAGTGTTTCTAGAAACCTGGCTACTCATCAATGAGGACTAAGTAAATTAAGACACAGCCACATAATGAGATTCTCAACAGCCACTGAAATACATGTGTCCCTGTTAGTATTCATTCCTGTATGCATCAAATATTTCATAAAGGGAGACTGCGCTGTGGTGTAGCGGGTAAAGCTGCTGCCTACAGTGCCAGCATCTCATATGGGTGCCACTTTGAGTCCTGGCTGTTCCATTTCCAATCCAGCTTTCTGCTGTGGCCTGGGAAAGCAGTGCAAGATGGCTCAGGTCCTTGGGCCCCGGTACCCACGTGGAAGACCCGGAAGAAGCTCCAGGCTCCTGGCTTGAGATTGGCACAACTCCAGCCATTGCGGCCATTTGGGGAATGAACCAGCAGATGGAAGATGTCTCTCTCTCTGCCTCTCTATAATTCTGCCTTTCAAATAAATAAATAAATCTTTAAAAAAGTGTATTTTAGAAAGACTCAGAGGGTAAACTGCAGAGGATCAATGGGTGGTTAGGCAGGTGTCAGAAGACTACATGAGCTAACTTTTTATACTTGAAAAATTTAGAACCATATGAATGCATTTATTTTAAGGGTAAAAAGTAAATGAAGAGGGGCTGGCATTATGGCTCAGCTCAGCAGGTTAGGCCACTACCTGAGATGCTGGCTTCCCATTTCAGAGCAGCAGTCTGAGTACCATGCTCCTGTCTGATCCAATTCCTGCTAATGCCTGGGAAAGCAGTAGAAGATGGCCCAAGTACTTGGGCCCCTGCACCCATGTAGGAGACACAGATAAAGTTCTGGGCTCCTGGCTTCAGCCTGATCCAGCTCTAGCTATTGCAGCCATTAGGGAGAGAACCAGTAGATGGAAGATATCTTTCTGTCTCTCTGTGTTACTCTTCTTTTCAAATAACTCTTTAAAAAAGAAAAAAAGTAAAGAGAAAGAATAAACAGAGATGCCTGAATGTACAGCTGCCATAAATGACTGATTATTTTGGGGTAGCAAGATTTTTACTCCTCACTTTTCACTTGTTTGTGTTTTTGTGATAAGCATGTATCATTTTACATTTGTAAACATTCAAATTATGAAAGAAAATCACATAGCTATAATGATGTTAGTAAAGCAATTTCTGTTAAAACTTTTTTATCTTTTTTTTTTTTGACAGGCAGAGTTAGACAGTGAGAGAGAGAAAGGTCTTCCTTTTTCTGTTGGCTCACCCCCCAAATGGCTGCTACGACCGGTGCGCTGCACTGATCTGAAGCCAGGAGCCAGGTGCTTCCTCCTGGTCTCCCATGCGGGTGCAGGGCCCAAGCACTTGGGCCATCCTCCACTGCCTTTCCGGGCCACAGCAGAGAGCTGGACTGGAAGAGGAGCAACTGGGACAGAATCTGGCACCCCAACCAGGACTAGAACCCGGGGTGCTGGAGCCGCAGGCTAAGGATTAGCCTAGTGAGCCATGGCATTGGCCCTCTGTTAAAACTTTTAAAAAAGATGATTTATTCAAGAGGTTGAGTGACTGGGGCCAGCACTGTGATGCAGCGGGTTAAAGCCCTGGGCTGAAGCACTGGCTTCCCATATGAGCACCGGTTCTAGTCCTGGCTGCTTCTCTTCCGATCCAGTTCTCTGTTGTGGCCTGGGAAAGCAGTACAAAATGGCCCAAGTCCTTGTTCTGCACCTGCGTGGGAGACCCAGAAGAAGCTCCTGACTTTGGACTGGCTGAGCTCCAGCCGTTGAAATCATTTGGGGAGTGAACTAGCGGATGGAAGACCTCTCTGTGTGTCTCTACCTCTCTCTGTAACTCTGTCTTTCAAATAAATAAATCTTAAAAAAAAAAAAAAAAAAAAGAGGTCGAGTGACAGAGAAGGAAACATGGAGAGAGATCGTCCATCCCCTGATTCACTCCCCAAATGGCAGCAACAGCCATGGCTGGGCCAGATTGAAGCCTGGAGTCCTGTACTCCAAGACTTGGACCATCTTCTGCTGCTTCCCCAGGTGCATTAACAGGGAACTGGATCAGAAGTGGAGCAGCTGGGTCTCAAACCACACTCCAATATGGGCTACCAGCATTGTAAGCAGCAGCTTAACCGCTGTACCACAACACCAGCCAGCCCCGTTAAAACCTTTTTAAAGACACCTAGGGCCCTCCTTTGCTTGGTGTTCTTTGACCCCGACAAGCCCCGCCCCACTCCTCTGCAGTTCCCAGCCCTTGCCCCTAGCGCTTTATTACAGGAATTTTCATTCTCCTTTTTACTTCCCCCACAGCGTTACCGATGGAGTGATCAAAAGTGTGCTGTGGCAGACACTTCAGGCTCTTAATTTCTGCCATAAACATAACGTAAGTAACGTTTTCTAAGGTGCTGATTAATTTCTTTGTGGTGACTCTTTTATTTATTTTTTTTTTAAAGATTTGTTTATCTATTTGAAAAGCAGAGTTACAGAGAGAAGGAGAGCCAGAGAGAGAGATTTTCTATCCACTGGTTCACTCCCCAAAGGCCACAACAGCCCTAGCTGGGCCAGGCTGAAGCCAGGAGCCAGGAGATTCTTCCAGGTTTCCCACGTGGATGCAGGGGCCCATGCACCTGGGCTGTTCTCCACTGCTTTCCCAGGACCATTAGCAGGAAGCTGGGTGGGAAGTGGAGCAGCCAGGACTTGAACCAGCACCCATATGAGATGCTGGCACCACAGACAGGAGCTTAACCCATTATGCCACAGCCCCAGCCCCCAAGGTGACTCTTTTCTTCCAGAGAACTTGGAGGTTCTCCTGGGAGAACTAAAGACAGAGTGTGGGGGTGAAGAGGTATAAAGAACCAGAGTAGCAAAGCAAAAGAAAATTCCAGAATATGAGGGAAAGTGCGTTATTTAAGGCCCTTTTCCAGGTTCTGTAAGAACCAAATTACTAATTCTTTGTGAATTAGAAGTCGGTGTAAACTTAATGTCTCCTGCTATAGAACTAATGATTGCCATGATTATTTTAAATTAAAGTAAGTTTTCAGGAGATCAGGTCAAAACCATGGTACTCGGTTTTTTAAATTATGCCTCCTAAGTCTGTTACTCCGTCACAGTCTCCCCCGCCCCACAGGGAAGGGAGCAATGTTTTACTTTTCCATGTGTTTTGCAGCGGTGAGGAACGTCTGGCCCACAGGCCATCCAAAGCCCAGAAAACCATCTGGTCTGGCCCGCAGGCAGGCATTCACAGGCAGGGCATGCATCAGAATCACTGGGCACTTGCTAGCCCCTGCCCGCCCCACGCCCGAGTTTCTTATTTAATAAGTAGGTCAGGGAGGGCCCAGGAATCTGCATTTCTGACATTTCCAGATGCTGAAGCTGCTGACCCAAAAACCACACTTTGTACGCTGCTGGCTCTTGTAAGTGATTGGCTGGGTGCTTCCCAGCTGTAATGCAACTCGGTCTTTCACCTGTGTTTCCTGGAAGTTGTTATGTAGAGACATGATCATATTCCGACTCCCACTTGTTGTTTGCAGACGGTGCTTCATATGTGGTGCTGTGTTCTTGTCGCACCATGAGGCGTCCACTGGCTGGTTGTCCCACTTTTGGTCATGTTACAGTTGACTCGTAGGCCCCAGAGATAACTGGTTCGATCCCCTCCATGATCCATTTCCCTGTCCACCTTGTTGCCTGATGGTTTTAGCATGCGGTGATGATGATTGTCTGTATCCAGGATTTCATGAGGATAAAAGATAGCCATTTTCTAATTATATTATTCCTTCTGCATTTATTAGTTGAAATTGTATGGAAAAGAACTTACCCTCTTGGACTCTGGTGACTGTAAAATAGAATAAGATAAATGGGTGATGATTTCCTTTATTTGTCACTACTCGGGGTGGTGAGCTGCATGCCAGCAACCTCCCCCAGTGAACTGCTAGGGACTGGGGGAGGGAGGGACATCACTATAAACATGAATTTTGTGTACTGGAAGTTTCCAGGTCTTTGCAGTCATTGTTCCCTATGATGCTGAAATTGTCCCATTAATTAGGCCAGTGAGAGCTTCTTCAAGTTGGCTCCTGGGTGCTTTAAAAAACTATCTCAAAACTGGCCGCCGCCACGGCTCACTAGGCTAATCCTCCGCCTTGCGGCGCCGGCACACCGGGTTCTAGTCCCGGTCGGGGCACCGGATTCTGTCCCGGTTGCCCCTCTTCCAGGCCAGCTCTCTGCTGTGGCCAGGGAGTGCAGTGGAGGATGGCCCAAGTGCTTGGGCCCTGCACCCCATGGGAGACCAGGAGAAGCACCTGGCTCCTGCCATTGGATCAGCGCAGTGTGCTGGCCGCAACGCGTTGGCCTCAGCGGCCATTGGAGGGTGAACCAATGGCAAAGGAAGACCTTTCTCTCTGTCTCTCTCTCTCACTGTCCACTCTGCCTGTAAAAAAAAAAAAAAAAACACTATCTCAAAACCTTCTGAGTTGGTGGCTAGGCAGGAACAGCGCCGAGGCAGGGATGCAGACTGCCATCTGGTCAGTTTTGATGCCAGCAGGGTGTCTACCATAATAGCCTAGGGTTGCTGAAAAAGAAAGTACAAGATCATGAAACTACATTTCAGGCCTTAAGCAAAGCTTTATTGAGTTTTAAGGAAGTTAGTAAAGTTTTTGTTAGAATAAATCAAAAACTTCTTTGAAAAAAATTATTTTTTTATTTGAAAGGCAGAATTACAAGAGAGGCAGAGGTAGAAGCAGAGAGAGAGAAAGATCTTCCATCCACTGATTCACTTCCCAACTGGCCACAATGGCCAGAGCTGGGCCCATCTGAAGCCGGGAGCTTCTTCCGGGTCTCCCACATGGGTGCAGGGGCCCCAGCACGTGGGCCATTTTCTGCTGCTTTCTCAGGCCATATCAGGGAGCTGGATCACAAGTTCACGATCCAGGGCCCATGTGGGATGCTGGTACTGTAGGCAGCAGCTTTATCATCTACGCACAGCACCAGCCCCAAAAGCTTCTTTTTTTCCCCTAATAATGTTCAGGGACATTGTTCACAGCATATATAAACCTGTTTTTCATGGTGCAAATTGACTGTCACATACTTGGTAAACATGATGCTGAATTGAATCCATATCTCTATTGCTTTCTGCAGAGATAGTTGCTATAGAAGTATCAGAGTTCACATGTGATTCCAAAAGTTTTGTTGTTCGGGGTGGGGGTGGGGACAGAACTTCTATCTCCTAATTCATTACCCAGATGCCCATAATAGCCAGAGCTAGGTCAGGCAGAAGCCAGGAGCCAGAAATTCCTTCCAGGTCTTCCACGTGGGTGGCAGGAACCCAGATACTGGAGCCACCACCACTGGCTACCAGACCCATTAGCAAGAAACTAGATTAGAAACGCGAGCACCCCAGTATGAGATGCCGGCAGCATGAGCTACAATAACATAATGCACTGTACTGCAACACCAGCCCTGCTCAAAGAGTTTTATGGCTAATTAAAATGGGAGAAACTTAGGCTGGGGGAATGCGAGCAGGGAGACTATAACCTTCACATGACGAGCACAAGATGTCACCTATCAGAGGCACAGAAATACAGCTGAAAGAATGCACGCAGTCCCACCAAGCAGAGTGGTGAAGGATGGTCAGTAGTGGAACCCATCGGGGACACGGGGTGGCAAAAGCGTTCTGATAAAAAAGAGTCATTGACCCAGTCTCCATGTAGCCAATCAATAAATTATCTGCCATATCAAGCTTAGCCTACACTGAGGTGGAATGGCCAGTAAGTTTGTTTTACTTAAGGGAGAAGCATGAACGGTGATGGCAGGATGCCCTGGGTAGTACTGTTGTATACCACATTTCAAATGAGCCTTGACCACTCTGCCACACAGGAGAGCCACCTGTGACTGACACTTCACTTACCAACACAGCACTTCTGACACCACTTGGTTTCAGGGATTTTTGCTGATACAGCAAATTTCCTGAAAGTCAATGAAAATGAGTGTAAAATATATGTTGGCAAACAGCATAAGATAAAGGTGCTGCTAGGGGCCGGTGTTGTGGCACAGAGGGTTAACACCCTGGCTTGAAGCGCTGGCATCCCATATGGGCGCCGGTTCAGGACCTGGCTGTTCCTCTTCCACTCTAGCTCTCTGTTGTGGCCTGGGAGGGCAGTGGAGGGTGGCCCAAGTCCTTGGGCCCCTGCACCCACATGGGAGACCCAGGGAAAGCTCCTGGCTCCTGGCTTCGGATTGGTGCAGCTCTGGCCGTTGTGGCCATCTGGGGAGTGAACCAGCAGATGGAAGACCTCTCGCTCTCTCTCTCTGCCTTTCTCTGTAACTCTTTCAAATAAATAAAATAATCTTAAAAAAAAAAAAAAGGTGCTGCTACAGGGCAGTAGGGAAAGGATGAATTCAAAAATTGGTGCTGACAACTGGTCATCTCTGAAAAATAAGAATCAAAAAAAAAAAAAAGAATAAATTAGACCTCATTTTCCCAGCTATTCTAAATGGATTAGGGTTTAAATATGGAAAAAAAAACCTATAAAATATTTAGAATCTAGATGAATATGATCTTGGGAATTAAAATAAGAAGAATAAGTCATGCAGGAAAATACTGATAAACCTTGACACTTTAATGCACTTTGCGGTACACCCCCAGTACCTCCAACTACACATATCATTCAGTTTGCTGAATCAGTAACTCTGGCTTACTGAGAGATACTACTGAGAACATAAAAAGAGAAGCCAAAAACTGGGGGAAAGATATTTTTAGCATATATAATACATTTAAGCTATGTCAAAAGTCCTTCCTACTATTAGAATTTGTTAGGAACTTCTTTGTTAGACATCTTTATTTCTCTGTTCAGGAAAAGGGGTATCCTGCAAAGACGCTTTAGGGGTTCTGCAAACATGATTCACGTTTAATAGGTAACGATCTGTTTTGAATTATTTTATGAAACTACAATCTAAAAAATATGCATACAACCAAATGTCTTTTCTATTGAAAGTTAGTATAACACAGACTACTGGTACACCAACTTGTGGATGCCTCAGGGTTTTGTTGTTGTTGTTGTTTTAAGATTTATTTTATTTGAAAGGCAGAGTTACAGAGAGAGGTAGAGCCACAGAGAGAGGTCTTCCATCTGCTTCTTCACCCCCCAAATGGCCGCAGTGGCCGAAGCTGAGCTGATCCAAAGCCAGGAGCCAGGAGGTTTTTCCGTGTTTCCCACGCAGGTGCAGGGGCCCAAACACTTAGGCCATCTTCACTGCTTTCTCAGGCCATTGCAGAGAGCTGGATCAGAAGAGGAGCAGCCAGGACTGGAACTGGTGCCCATTTGGGATGCTGGAACTGCTGGCACTGCTGGCCAGGGCTTTAACCCACTGTGCCACAGCGCCAGCCCTGGAAGCTTCAAGCTAAACTTCTTCATTTCTGTACACATATTTAAGCTTCTTTTAATGTGCAGGTATGCCAGAGATGAGATGTCAGTGCTCTGCACTGGTCCTTTGCGGGGGGGGGCACTGTAACTGCACATGTGTGTGACATTTAATACAATTCCAAACAAGCTCAGAAGAATTGTCTTGGTGGATGTTCTTTTGACTGTCCAATCAGCTACTGAGTAATAACCAAGCAAACCTGTGGTATTTGCAAACCTTTTCATTGTCACCTCTATTAACTTTATGAAAATCTATAGTATTTTCTAAAATATTTTTGTGAACTATAAAAAAGTTTGCTTATGTTCATCTACTTGAAAAGTAAAGCCACAAAGAGAGAGAGTGGTCTTCCATCCATTGGCTAACTCCTCAGAAGCTCCCCAGTCCTAGGCCTGACTTCAGAATTCCATCTGGGTCTCCTGTGTAGGTGGCAGGGACCCAAGCATTTACACCATCATCTGTTGCCTCCCAGGATGCATTAGCAAGAACCTGGATGGGAAGTGGAGCAGCCAGGACTTGAACCCTTGAGCCAGCACTCCGGTATGGAATGCAGGTATCCCAAGCAGCAACTGTAATGCTACAACATCCACTCCACTCTGCTCATGGTTAATGGAACCCTTATGACACTCTCAAAGAACAGAAAAGACGAATGTGTCTCAGTGGTCACTGAAGACTCACATCTTGCAACCTATGGAGACCATGGGCGCCTTATTTTATGCAGAGTCTTGATCCTACTCAAGACAGTGAATGAAGGTTAAAGCAGTAAGGGATTAAGGCCTTGCTACTCGAAGTGTTGTTCATAGAGAACACTGGGAGCTTGTTAGAATCTCGGGCCCACCCACGTCTACTGAGTCAGATTGTTCATTTGAACAATATCTCCTGGTGATCCATATGCACATTAAATTTGGAGAAGCACTGGACTTCAGAAGATAGTCCTCATTTTGTTTGCTTTTTCTCTGTGAGATCACTAGAGTGAAATAACTAACATGATCCACTTAACAGCTTAATGAACCCATGGATGTTGAATGATCAGAGAAAGAAGTCTGCCCCCTAAAGGCAGAACTTCAGTGGTGTCTGAGATTTGTGAGGGTCAAGCTGCAACACCCATCAGCCCCGTGTTGCTCGTCCCGCCATGATTCTCAGGTCTCTCTTCTCTCTGGCTGCTGGGTACATGTATACCCCTCAAATGCAAAGAAAACAACCCTCTGACATCACAGAAAGCTATTTTTGTAACATGGTAAGTTTATTTAATTTTTTTGAAAGGCAGAGTCACAGAGCGAGAGAGAGAGAGAAAGCTTCTATCCACTGGTTCACTCCCCAAATGACCATAATGAGCAGGACTGGGCCAGGCTGAAGCCAGGAGCCAGGAATTTCATCCAGGTCTCCCTCATGAGTGCAGGGAACTGAGTACCTGGGCCATCTTCAGCTGCAGGGAGCTGGATCGGAAGCAGAGCAGCCATGCCCATATGAGATGCCGGCATCACAGGTGGTAACTTAACCCGCTGTGCCACAGTGCTGGCCCCAGAAAATTATTTACTGTTTAGTCAGAGCATATAAAAAGCAATTTCTCATGTGAAAGTTGTAAGGGATGATTCTTGAAGTTGGAGCTCATATTTAAAATACCACAAATACCTCTTCTTGAAGCCAGTTTGAGAGCCAATAAAAGTGAGACTGAGCAGTGTTTGCCAGTAGCTATGTATGAAGCGCAACTTTATTAATATTCTTCTTTACTGCAACTTGCATGTTTCTTGTTTGGTGTAAAATAAGCATTGCAGAGTTGCTTTGCATGTGGTTTTCCAGTGAGAAAATGAGTGCTGTGTGTCTAAGCATGGTTGGTCTCCCATGCTCTGAGTCTTACTATTCCAACTATTTTTTTTTTTTTTTTTTGACAGGCAGAGTGGACAGTGAGAGAGAGAGACAGAGAGAAAGGTCTTCCTTTGCCGTTGGTTCACCCTCCAATGGCCGCCGCGGCCAGCGCGCTGCGGCTGGCGCACCGCGCTGATCCGATGGCAGGAGCCAGGAGCCAGGTGCTTTTCCTGGTCTCCCATGGGGTGCAGGGCCCAAGCACCTGGGCCATCCTCCACTGCACGCCCTGGCCACAGCAGAGAGCTGGCCTGGAAGAGGGGCAACCGGGACAGAATCCGGCGCCCCAACCAGAACTAGAACCCGGTGTGCCGGCGCCGCTAGGCGGAGGATTAGCCTAGTGAGCCGCGGCGCCGGCCAATTCCAACTATTTTTATTCCCTTTTTTTGTTCTACACTATTCTAGCCTTCATCAATAACTTCCGTTATCTTCACCTACAGTAACAAATGTGCCTATTTGGTACATATCAATATTACATTCGCCTTTATAATTTTTAGTTCTAAAGAAGTTCTGTAGGTTTCATAAGGACTTGCATTAGACCCAAAAATATACTGACAAATATCAATGTATGTCCATTTATTTGTTATGCCATGCAAAATCTAGAAATTTTAGAATTTGATACAAACTCATTTGAAGAACATAACCTGTTCTAATGGAATTGCCAATTCTTATAAGTATTGCTTATAAGCATTATAATCTTTTTAATTATACTTTTTTTAAATGATTTTATGTATTTATTTGAGAGGCAGAGTTACAAAGAGAGGGAAAGATAAAACAAAAGGTCTTCTATCCACTGCTTCACTCCCCAAATGTCCATAACAGCCAGAGCTGACCTGATTCGAAGCCAGGAGCCAGGTTTCCCACATGGGTGCAGGGGCCCAAGCACCTGGGCCATCTTCCACTGCTCTACTCAGGCCATAAGCAGAGAGCTGGATCAGAAGAGGAGCAGCTGGTACTTGAACTGGTGCCCATATGGGATGCCAGCATTGTAGGCAGAGCCTTAGGCTACTAAACCACAGCATTGGCCCCAAATTATACTTTTTTAAAATTAATATTTAAGGCCTTAAGATTCTTAAGAGGCCTACAGATGTTTCTTCTTTTTTTTAAAGATATATTTATTTATTTGAAAGTCAGAGTTACACAGAGAGAGGAGAGGCAGAGAGAGAGAGAGGTCTTCCATCCGATGGTTCACTCCCCCCCAAAAAAAAAAAAAATTGGCCGCAATAGCCAGAACTGTGCCAATCCGAAGCCAGGAGCTTCTTCTGGGTCTCCCATGCAGGTGCAGGGGCCCAAGGACTTGGGCCATCTTCTACTGCTATCCCAGGCCACAGCAGAGAGCTAGATCAGAAGTGGAGCAGCCGGTTCTCGAAATGGTGTCCATATGGGATGCCGGCGCTTCAAGCCAGGGCATTAACCTGCTGCGCCACAGCCCCGGCCCCCAGATGTTTCTTCTAACTGCTGCTCATACTCATTGTGAAAGAGTTGACAGTAATTGACACTACATAGACACAGGCTTCTGATACCAGTGCCTAAAATGAACTTAGGCTTTCAGCCGTTTTCTTCCTTGATAGCTTTGATAGAAGCAAAGAAATTTTTTTTTTAATTTTTTTGACAGGTAGAGTTATAGACACTGAGAGAGAGAGAGAGAGACAGAGAGAAAGGTCTTCCTTCTGTTGGTTCACTCCCCAAATGGCTGCTACAGCCGGCGCTGCACCGATCTAAAGCCAAGAGCCAGGTGCTTCCTCCTGGTCTCCCACATGGGTGCAGGGCCCAAGCACTTGGGCCATCCTCCACTGCACTCCCTGGCCACAGCAGAGAGCTGGACTGAAAGAGGAGCAACCGGGACTAGAACCCGGCGCCCATATGGGATGCCGGTGCCAAAGGCAGAGAATTCACCAAGTGAGCCACGGCGCCGGCCCCAAAGCAAATTATTTCAGAATTGTCGTTTTGATAGGGCTACTTGCAGGGGAGGGATTGATGACTGGAAGTGGCACTTGCTCCATAGGTCTGATAGTGGCCTCCTGCAACCCCAGGACTGTTGCAAGGATGAAACAATGGATGTGAAAGTGCTTTCAAAAGGCCAGAGCTCTGTGGGAGGGTCAACAGTAGAAGGAGACTATTATTTTTATCTTTGGGGGGGTGTAGATAAACTGGAAAGATAGCCTCCTGCAGAGCAGGGCATAAGCTGTGTCTGCACAGTAGCAGCCGCGCTCTCGGAAAGCCATTCCTGGGACGAGCACACTCAGCCTGCCTTCATCTGTGCCGCCAGCTCTGCCCTCCTGTGTCCAGCCAGGAGCATCCGCTGGGGGCGGGGTCCTTGCGATGCTGCAGCAGGTTGCAAGTTCGTTATGAGTAAGCCAAGAGCAGAGCTTGCCTGTGAGGAGAGTTTCTCCTAGGGGGGTCCTGCTCTGCTCCCCAGTGTGTGGCCATCCCAGGGTGCCAGGTTAGCCTCTTGTTGGGGGAGTCAGAGTGATACACCCCCTCCCCCAGCTGCTGAGGGCCTGGAATCTGACTAGCAGGTGACCGCCCACCCAGCACAGTTCTGCCTTGAGTCTGTCATCCTGGCCCACAATTAGCAGAGCTCCGTCTCCGTATCCCAATGGGGATGATGAGTCACAGGGTCCCTTCTCATTGGAGTGAATTTTGGCTTTTGTTGTCATTTAAATGTTTCTCCAGCTTCTCCAATCTGCAGTAGTTACTTCACCTGAATCCTGATTCTTAATTGACAGCAATTCTTATTCAGGCACAGCGAGTCCCATCTCATTTAGGGTTTTATCTCTTAGCGTTTAAACAAGATCCAATGAAAACCAAAAGAAATGATTGTGTGATCCTTCTCACCATAAAAAAATCAGACACAATTTTCATGTACAACAATGTTTTAAGTGTCTTCAATAATATAGTAACATTTTGATGTATTTTTTCCTTATGGTATGACAAGATTTACAAGTGAATTCCCAATTTAAGCTCTTTTAGAAAAATGAAGCTCATTTGTTTTTATCTCACAGGCCATGTTTATCAAACATTTAAGCAGGTAGTTAACGTTTAATTCTTTGTCATTTTGACGGCTCAGGAAAATAATCGGATGTTGTCTTACAGTGTATTCACAGAGATGTAAAACCTGAAAATATCCTAATCACTAAGCAAGGAATAATCAAGATCTGTGACTTCGGGTTTGCACGAATTCTGAGTGAGTAGCAGTCTTTTTCTTTTCTTTTTTAAAAATTAGCTTTATCCAATTCTGACGATTATAAGCTGACGTAGTTTAAATTCCTACTTTAGATATTGAATGTTTGCTAAGTATTGTGTTGTTGTTATTCAGACAGGAAAATCTCACTTTAGACTTTTAGTCAGCGCATTACTTGCACTTCAACCCCACTCCCTTCTAGAATTTATTGGATGGCGCCTTTGTGTACTGTGCGCCACAGGAGTGGGGAAGAATTACAAGATGCATTTCCGATCTCCATGCACTTACCATCCAAAGTGCAAGAAACGAGAGAATAAAACAAGATAGTTGGCAGGAGGAAAGTACTCAAGGGAAGACGCAGCCGATTCCCTGGAGGGACATGTCCGTGAGGGTGAGAGTGGCTGACAAAAGCTTCATGGAGCTGACGAGACTAGAAGGGTGAACTAGAGATGACGGAGAAGATGCAGAGACCATGCTGAGAAAGAGGAAACCTTCCCAGGCAGGGAGGGGCTGAAAGGAAATGGGGACCAGTAATGGTTTCCCGTGAGTCTAGACCTGTGCAGCTAGCAAATCCGTGTACTGGCCACATACACCTTGCTCTGTCGGCGTGTACACAGTCAGTCTGCTGCTACAGCCCACACCCAGGTGACTGGACAATGGCAAGAACAAAAACTGATGACGTCTCTCTGAGGTTGCGGTGCAAGGTGTAGTACAAGAATGGGACCCTAATGATAACTGGGCCCTGTGCCAGGTGGCTGAAAAGAGAAATCCACAGACGCCAGAAGACTCTCTGTGAATTATGAACCCAGTTCTGTGGTGTGTCCGTATCATGAAATAAGAGGCATGCGTCAGAATGGACGCTGACAGGATTTTTAGTGGTACCAGAAAATGTTTAGGAGGGGATAGTGGAAAGGGAGAGCTAGCACTTCTGTGTGCAGTGTAACCTGAGCTATGCAGGGAACACAGGGAAGGTGGCTGGGCAGTAACCCTCTGCTTAGGAAGTGAGGTGGTGAACAGTCTTTTTTTTTTTTTTTTTTGGACAGGCAGAGTGGACAGTGAGAGAGAGAGAGAGAGAGAGAGAGAGAAAGGTTTTCCTTTACCATTGGTTCACCCTCCAATGGCCGCTGCGGCCGGCACACTGCGCTCATCTGAAGCCAGGAGCCAGGTGCTTCTCCTGGTCCCCCCTGGGGTGCAGGGCCCAAGCACTTGGGCCATCCTCCACTGCACTCCCTGGCCACAGCAGAGAGCTGGCCTGGAAGAGGGGCAACCGGGACAGAATCCGGCGCCCCGACCGGGACTAGAACCCGGTGTGCCAGCACCACAAGCGGAGGATTAGCCTAGTGAGCCGCAGCGCCTGGCCGGTGAACAGTCTTTCAGTCCCACGCGTCTGATACAGGCAGTGTCAAAGATTGGGGTTTTTTTCCTCCCTGGAAATTCATTTCCTACTACCAAAATACCCAATTTGGTACCAAATGGAAATGAAAAAAAAATCCTACATATATTTGTCATTACATTAAGAACACAGAAGAAACATTCTATATAAAACTTATCTCATAAATGGTCCTTTAGGGGATTTTTCCTCATCGACTGGCAAGCAGTTGAAAGGATTTATGTTTTATTTTTTCATGAATGGATATTCTTGCTCTCCTGCTGAGTCTTCCTGTGGTCATTCTGTGAATGAAGAACCTTAGAACTGAGTTCAGTACTTGGATCATTTGTCTCAGAAGTTTTGATAGCATGAACGCTCCAGAAGTCTCTGAGTGGTGAACCCTCAGAAATCCCGATAATGGAGCTGGTGTTGTGTTGTAGCAGGTAAAGCTGCCGCCTGGAGTGCCAGCATCCCATATGAGTGCCGGTTCAAGTCCTTGCTACTCTACTTCCAATCCAGGCCCCTGCTAAGGTGCCTGGAAAAACAGCAGAAAATGGCCCACATGCTTGGGCCCCTGCACCTACGTGGGAGACCCAGAAGAAGGTCCTGGCTCCTGGCTTTAGCCTGGCCCATGGGGAGTGAACCAGCAGGTGGAAGACCTCTCTCTGTCTCTCCCTCTTTCTCTGTAACTCTGCCTTTCCAATAAATAAAGTTCATCTTTAAAATAAAATGAAATTCCAGTAATGATAACTTCTGTGTTGTTATAAAAAAAAGTGGTAATATCAGACACTGGTTTTAGCATGGCCTAAAACCTCCACAGAATGGGAGCTCAGGCACTGGTTACAGCTGAAGCCATCCTAAATACTGATTTGGGTTATTGTTGGGATCACTGGTCATCTTTATAATAAGAAAAGTGAAGGATGGGGTCCCAGCAGGTGCTAAAATGCTCATATCCACTCAGTAGACTTAGCCACATAAAAAGTGTAGCTCCTGCTATATATCTACATGCAAAAGAGTGCAGCTGGGGAGCCGGAGTTGTGGCGCAGTGGGTGGGTTCAGCACCAGCATCCCATCTGGGAATGCTGATTTGAGTTCCAGCTGCTCTGCTTACAGTCCAGCTCCCTTCTAATGTGCCTGGGAAGTGGGCAGATGATGGTCCAGGTACTTGGGCCCCTGCCACCAATGTGGGAGACCCAGATGGAATTTCAGACTCTTGGCATTGACTTGGCCCAGCCCTAGACATTGTGGCCATTTGAGGAGTGAACCACTGGATGAAAGTGCTCTCTCTCTCTCTCTCTCTCTCTCTCTCTGTAACTGACTTCCATATCAATTAATTAATTTTTAATAAAAAAATTTTTAAATGAAGTTGGACTTTTGTTTTGCCATATTCAAAAGTTCTCAAAATGGACCACAGACAGACCTAAATGTAAAAGCTAAAATTATAAAATTTTTAGAAGAAAATATAGGGAGAACATTTCATGATATTGAATTTTATAGTGATTTCTTACATGTAAACAAAAGAAAAAATAGATAATTAGATTTCATCCAAATGAAAATTTTTTGTCTATCAAAAATAGAGTGAAAATGTATCTTGCACAATGGGAAGAAATGTTTGCAAATTTATATCTGATAAAGAATTTGTATCCAGCACATATAAGAAACTCTTATAACTCAACAGCAAAAACTAATTTAAAAATGAGTGAAGACCTTGAATAGAGATTTCTTCAAAGAAGATATACAGATGGCCAATAAGCAAATGAAAAGATGCTCAACATCACGAATATAAGAGAAATGCAAATGAAATTATAGTGAGATATCATTCATACCCATTAGGATAGCTATCATAAAAAATCACTCACACATACACACACACACACACACACACACAACCAAATAACAAGTGTTGGCGACTATATGAAGAAAGTGGAGCCCTCGTGTTGTTGGGGTGGATGAGAAGTGACAGAGATCTGTGGAAAACAGCTTGGCAGTCCCTGTGAAGCGTAAACCACTTAAACCACAGGAGTCCTACTGTGAGGACTCCAGGCGCTGAATTTAGGGTCCACCCTAGTCCAATATGACCTCATCTTAACCCAGGTAAATCTGCAAAGACTCCACTTCCAAATAAGGTCACATTCACAGGTTAACAGGGGTCAGGACTTCAGACCTGGTTTTTGGGAGGACACAGTGTAATCCACAACACGCACTGTCCTGACAATGTGGAAAAAACAATTGCTGGTTTAAATTGTAAGTTAGGCCACGGAAATCTCATGGCCTCCTGTGTATGATGATGTAAATGCTAACTAACAAGGGTGCTCACCAAAGTCAAGTTTACCATTTCCGTGCACAGCGTGACTGCGTACCCAGTGCCTCTGTGCAGCAGCTGTTAGCCATACATGACCTCTGAGAGTTACTGAAAACGAAGGCCTGCCCTGCCCTTGCGGGGTGCAGTTCACAGGTTCATGAGTGGGGAGAATGTGACTCCTCTGGTCTGACTGATACCTTTGCAGTTCCAGGAGATACCTACACAGATTATGTTGCAACCAGATGGTACCGAGCCCCTGAGCTGCTCGTGGGTGATACTCAGTATGGTTCTTCAGTGGACGTCTGGGCAATCGGTTGTGTTTTTGCAGAGCTCCTGACAGGCCAGCCACTCTGGCCTGGGAAATCAGATGTGGACCAACTTTATCTGATCATCAGAACACTGGGTATGAATTGTATTCTGTGGCTATGGGCTTGCTAAATGATTATAGTGTAGTGTGCCTTTTGTAATGCAAAACAAAGCAAGAGCTTTATTGCTTTTTAAAGTGCTACTCAGAATGGTCGTTCTGGCTTCTGAGTTGTAGCCAAAGCACAGTCCTTTTCCCAGTACATCGACTCTTAACTCCTCTTAGTGAGTTTTCAGATATCTTTCCAAAAAAAGTCAATTAGTCATGGAATAAGCTATACATTTACTTTCCATGTAGGGCTAAGATAGTGATAGGGATATGAGTCAGCTGCCTAGAGCTCCATCTAAGTGATACTCAACCAAATGCAGGTTCTGTCCATTGTGACAAGCTTTCCTCTCTTTAACCCTAGAGGAGGGGGTCAGCAAATTTTTTTTCTATAAGAGACCAGATGATAAATGTTTTAGGATTTGCAGGCCTTAGAGTGTGTGTTGCCACTGCTTGACTCTGTTGCTGTCATGCAAAAAAGCAGGTATACACAATGTATCCATGAACACATCACAAAATAGTCTTTGAATGTTTTTTTTAAAGATTTTTATTTATTTATTTGCCAGGTAGAGTTACAGACAGTGAGAGAGAGAGAGACAGAGAGAAAGGTCTTCCTTCTGTGGTTCACTCCCCAAATGGCTGCAATGGCCAGAGCTACTCTGATCTGAAGCCAGGAGCCAGGTGGTTCTTCCTGGTCTCCCATGCAGGTGTAGGGGCCCAAGCACTTGGGCCATCCTCCACTGCCTTCCCGGGCCACAGCAGAGAGCTGGACTGGAAGAGGAGCAGCCAGGACTAGAACCAGTGCCCATATGGGATGCTGGTGCTGCAGGCAGAGGATTAACCTAGTGAGCCACAGCGCCGGCCCCTCTTTGAATGCTTTTAAAAATCCATTTAAAAATCATTGTCAGATCTCAGCTAGACAGAAACAGGCACTGGGCTAGAACTGGCCTGAAGACCATAGTTTTCAAATTCCCATGGTGGAACTGAAGAATCTGATTTTTATTTCCTGATCAAAAGTGGCTGCTGAAGTATAAAGTCCCATTGGCATGTCTCCTTGCTTAGCAGTTCAGAATTTACAAAGTACTTCCTTACTATATTATCTCTTGCAATCATAAGAAAAGCCAGTAAGAAAGTTACAGTTTTTATTGTACTTATTTTTGTACTTATTTACAGTTTTATTGTACTTATTTACAGTTTTTATTGTATTTATTTTTATTTCATGTATGAGGGAATTGGGGCTCAGGGAGCCTCCATGACTGACCCAAGATCATACAGCCAGCTAAGAATGAGATTGGAGTAGGACTTGAGGTTTGGGGTTGGGTGGTTTTTTCCATGACCCTACAATTACGTGTCATCGTGCTTGGCAGTCATTGTCTACCTGCAGCTGGTTGGAAGAGAATACAACCCACAGGGTTAGCTGCAGCTTCCCTCAGGAGTGTGGATGCAAAGAGAGTTACACCTCCACACACAGCACGAGTAGGTATTCGCTCCTCCTCGTGGGCTGTCCTGGCCACAGGGCTGCTGGCCAGTTCCAGGTTTGGCTGATTCCTTTCTCCTGGAGAAATCTGCAGTGTGAAGCTTCGGGGTGGAGTGTCATCCCAGGGCATGTCTTCAGTGTGTGTTGTCGGTTTGATTGGTTTCCGAGTAGGATTCTGGAAATTTGCACTAGATGGATACTAGACCTAGCTTGGTGTTTGGCATGAGACAAGGCTGGGTTTGAATCTTGGGTCGGCTGCTTCATTACCGCATGCTCTTGGCCACACTGCCCCTCTCAGCTCATTGTCCTCATGGATGGGGGAGATTTACAAAGAAGAGGAAGAAAAAGAAACAGCTACCACTGTTGGGAGACTGTTACGAGATGAAAGGAGATAGTGTGTGTACAGCACCAGTTTTCTCAGCTCGTCCTTTGGTGGAGGCTGAGGAGCAGAATGGGGAAGAAAGCTGTGGAAGGGGACTGGCTTTGCCCAGGGAGACCTGCTTCTGCAGGGCGGGTCCCCCGTGGCCCCACTCGGTCACTGCGAGTGTTTCAGATCCCTACCTCAGAAGGTAGCCATTTAGTGAGTGAGTGAGTTTAGGTTAGCCAGTTAGTTAGTTATTTTATAGCACACTTATCAGGAGTTTTTCTGGTTCCTATCCTACAGGAAAGCTAATACCAAGACATCAGTCTATCTTTAGAAGTAACCAGTTTTTCCATGGCATCAGTATACCTGAGCCAGAAGACATGGTAAGCTGCTCTATTTTGGGTATTTTGTTATGTGTGTGGCTCCTTTCTTTAAAGAAGGAGTTGTTTCCTTTTTAATATTTGTGGTTTTGGTTTCTGTTTTCTTATGACATACTGACACATTTTGAAGAAATCGTGTTAAAAAAAATTGCTGAGAAATGAGCTGAGAAAATGCTTTCGAAGTCTACCTGTCCTGTCTAGCAGAGATTAATTTAATGTTACATCTAAAGTGCTAGCATTTTTAGTGTCTTAGCATACGCCTTGATCTGTTTAGCCAAAGCACTAAGTTAGCTTTCCCTGAAATCATTATTTCCTCATAAGCAGTGCTTACAGTAACCTTTATTTCGAAGACATGCATGCACTCAATTTTTTTTCAACTTGTGAAACAAAGCACAAATCAATAAAAACCTTTTTCCCCTGGCGGATATTTTCCCATGGAAGGCTGGCCATTCTACAAAAGGCTTCTCACTGGGCTCACTAAGCTCCAGGTCACAGCCATCACCTGTGTCCTCCTGCCTCTGCCAGGAACATGTCCGTGACTGCTTGACGTCCTACTCACCGCAGACGTCGACTCTGGGGTGGCCTCCGACCTTTAAAATCCCCTGTGGTCTAGGATCTGCCTACACAAAGAAAGGGTTATTGGGAGAGACAGGCAGTGCAGAGATGGGGAGAGGTCCGAGACGCTAGATCGTGACTTGTGGCACCTCTGAGGAGTCGGAGGCTCTCTGGACACTGTCCATGTAAAATCGAGATTTCATACAATGCCTTGTTGTATACTGTTGGTTTTCTCTGTTGTTGCGTTTGTCAAAAACCTTACACAAAAAAAGATAAAATTAGGCCAAAGGTTATAAAGTAGTATGTTCGTATGTTTAATTAAGAATGAAATACAACAAACTCATGTGTCTGCTGCCCAGCTAAAGAAGTAAAATTACACCTTTGAAGGCTCCCCAGTCCCTGCCCTCCCCATGATTCTGTTTCTCGTGTGTTTATCTTTCTGTTGATTTCTGTAGAGCTCTTCTACATGTAGTTCAGTGTGTTTTCATGAAGGCTCAAAACATCCTCATAAAAAGACCAGGCACAGATACCAGGCAGCGTGGTAGATTTCAGATGGGAACATTTAGGACCCACATCTATGGATCAGTGGAGATGCCTTATCAAATTAATTCCTGTCTTAACACGTTCCAGACCTTTATCCTGTAGTGTAAAATAATGTAAAAAAAGTAGTTTTTGTAAAAAAAAAAAAGTCTTAATCATCTAACCTACTAGAGACTCTGGCTGCAAAGTGTTATTATTACTGATATATACAAAATATGCGTTACTTTGTTATTATGTAATATTGAAATCCTTTTACTTTGTTGTCCAGGAAACTCTTGAGGAAAAGTTCTCAAATGCTCATCCTGTGGCTTTGAATTTCATGAAGGTACTTAAGAATCATGACTGTTTGTGACTGCAAATTGTAATGACTGTAGGTGGTAATCGTGGGAGAAATGGAAAATAGGGCAAATAATGTCCAAGTAGGATGTAGCCATTGAAAATGATTAGAAACTGAACCAATTGCAGCTAAAAGAGCATCAGCATTTTAAGCAGTAAAAATTCTGACATATCTATTAAAATTAGAAGAAGGCCAAAGAGCCACACAGACAACAGACCCTATCCCTTACATTAGGCCCAAGAGAAATGGGCAGATTTTAATAAAAATCTGAAGGTACTTACCTAAGACCAGTCTACCATTCATGCTTGACCCACAGAGGACACACTACAAAGTATGACCCTTCCATCAAGAGTGGATATGGAAATCCTTTTGGGGAATGGGTTGAGAATACCAGACAGGGTATCTGTCTTTAACAATCAACTAACTTCTATCTGTAACAGTGTTTCCAAGCATGGCTGCTCATCAGAATGGCCTGGGACCTTCTCAAAAATACAGATTCCAGTATATGCCTTTAGAGATTTATGGAAGCAGACTCTCCATGAGTAAGAGCTGGGGATTTGTGTCTTTAACATCTCCTTAGGTGATTGTGAATGAACAGCTCAGTTGGAGGTGCCTCTAGTCCAGACAGTGAGGTGGTTTGGATGAGCCAGCATCAGCGTTGTTGACCAGCCTTCGTGCCTGCACCAATCACTCAGGGTGCTGAGCCGAATGCTTTTTATGCCCTGTGACTCCCCTCACCATAGCTGCACCTGACCTCAGCTTGCACCTGCCCTGCCTCACTGCTCCACCCTCACCTAGAATTTTGCAGGCCCTGTCCTAGAAGGCCAGCCCTCCCCCGCAGCCTTGATCTTGACAGGCTGTTCTGATCCACTCACAGTTTAGCAAAAGATGTCAGGCACTGCAAACCCAGTCCATTCTCAGGTGGAGCCAGGAGCCTACCGTGTTTACTCCTCCAGCTAACCTGGAAGTTCTCGGGCAGGCAATTGCAGGACACAAAACTCTAAGGTGTCAGAGAAGCTCCTTGTCTTCTCCTCTAAAGGTATAGTGCCCTGTGGGCTTGCCCGAGATTCTAGATGAAGCTCAATTTGTTACTCCTCCATTTGATTTAGACTTAGAAATATTGATCTGAGACCCAGGAATTCTCTGAGTACATCAAAGTTTGTGCTAGTCCATGGGCCACACCCTATCTCCTAGACTCCTGCCCCATGTTAGATGAAAGAAGACCTTCTGTAACTAATTGCAATTGGGACATCTTCAACAACAAATAAGTACTGGGTACCATAACAGGTAATTACCCCACAGGAATGGGTCATAAGCTATGCAGAGAACTGCTCAAGAGGTAAAAACGTTGGCCAATGACAGTAGCAAGTGCAGTGGTGGCACGCAGTGGCCAATGTGTGGCAGGTCTCCCTCAGGCACCAAATAAGACCACAGGCCCAGTTTTATTACTTATTACTCATTTGTCTCCATAATCATGAGTACCCTACATCGCTGTAGCAGTTTACTTTGGTCATTAAGAAGAAGACTGTAGATGATTAGAAATTTCACTAGAGGGCTTTCTGTGAAATTTTTAAAAAAGATTTATTTATTTCAGAGGCAGAGTTACATACAGAAGGGAGAGACAGAGAGAGAGGTCTTTTATCTGTTGGTTCACTCCCCAGATGGCTGCAACTGCTAGATCTGGGCTGATCTGAAGCCAGGAGCTGGGAGCTTTTTCTGGGTCTCCTATGTGGGTACAGGAGCCCAAGCACTTGGGCCATCTTCCACTGCTTTCCCAGGCCGTTAGCAAGGAGCTGGATCAGAAATGGAGCAATCAGGACTTCTATATGGGATGCCAGCCTTGTAGGTAGAGGCTTAACCTACTATGCTACAACGTTGGCCCCTTTCAGTGAAATTTAAAGTTTAATAAAAGGATACAGACTTAGACTTTGCTGGCCCAATTTCTTGTATCCCACCTTATCCATACCTTTGCTTGGCTAGAAGCACTTCAATCAAGGAATACCTCTGAGAACTCTAAATTACAGAAAGTAATTAATCTAGGAAGGCAAAGACCCAGAAGCCTCGCTCTCCCCCCAACTCCCCACCCCCACCAGTTCGTCTCAGTGCTCCTAAAACTGGTCGTGTAGTACATTGTCCCAGCCCAAACCCATGGAGCAGCTCAGCATCAACAGTCTCTTCCAAGAATCTAAAACTGGCTTTAAAATAAGAACTCAGGGGCACTTAGTGATGGATTGGATTTCAGTAGATTGTAAGCTCCTATGAAAACATGAATGAATTCAAGATAGATATTTTACGAGTAACTGAGAGACTTAATTGTGATTTCTCTCTGGGGAGTGAAGTAGAGGAGAGTGGCCCGGATGAGCTCTGTGTCCATTTCCAGGTGCTGGCAGGTCCCTGCTTTCTCTGAAAACTTGGTGAGGATCCTTCCTTGCCTTTTCCAACTTCTGGTAGCCCCAAGCATCCCCTGGCTTGTGACAGCATAACTCCAGTGTCTGCCTCCGTCACCACATGGCGTTCTCTCTGTGTGTCTGTTTTCACCTTGCTTTCCCTTCTCTTTTAAGGACACCAGTCATAATTGGGTTAGGGGTCCATGCTACTGCACTGTGACCTCATCTTAACAAATTACATGCACGAAGACCTTATTTCCAAACAGGGTCACATTCTGAGATACTGGGAGTTAGGACTTGAGCAAAATTTTCTTTTGGTGAGGATACATTTTAACCTGTGACAGTGCCGAAGAGACCAAGAAGAAAAGTTAAGTAAGCAATTGCACCTGTGGGTCTGGAGTTTGGCGGACAGGTCTGTAACAGAATTATGGGTATGGAAATCTCCAGCAAGTCCTGATAATTGAAATCATGGGTGTCAATGAGATCAGCTAAAAACTGAGGACAGATGAGAAAAATGAGGATGCAACGGGTAAACCTTGAGACAGTCCATCCGACTGTGATGGAAAAGAAGGTGTAATAGCAAAGGCTGGTTTGAAAAGGAGCAGCCAGGAGGCAGATGAAAGAAAGTGAGCTGACAGGGAAGCCAAGGAGAGAGTTGAAAAGGAGGATGTGGTCAGTCGTGTCTAACACAATTGAGATAAAAACTCAAAACACCTGCTGCATGTAAGAAGTAGAGCCCAGGGGCACAATAACAAGAACCGCTCACGTGGAATGATGGAGGCAGTAGCCAAGAAGTGAAGAAGACGGGCAAGTGTTTGGTGCAGCAGGTAAGACGCTGCTTGGGATGCCCGTGTCCCATATCAGTGTGCCTACCTCTGCCTCTGATCCAGCTTCCAGCTAATGCAACCATGGAAAGCAACAGTGATAGCCTCAGTATTTGGGTCCCTGCCACCCACGTGGAAGACCCAGATGGAGTTCCTGGGCTCCTGGCTTTGCCTTTGTTTAGTGGGCATTTGTGGAGTGAACCAGTGGATGGAGCTCTTTCTCTGTGCCTAGCTCTCTCTGTTTCTCTGCCTTTCAAACAAATGAAAATAAATTTAAAAAATGTTTTAATTGGTGAAGAAATAGAGACTGCCAAATTCTGTATTCAGATTAGACTTCTGTCCTGATTGTAGGTATTAAGGTTTGAGGAGGTACTTCCCTGTGACAACCAGAGTTAGTTAAAGGCAGATCATTAGCTGGGTGGAGGGTTGATCTGTTGCAGCAGGTCATAGGTGTGAAGGGACTGTGAATCTGGCTGTGTTGAGCAGGGTTGTTCAGCTCCCACTGCAAGGGGCAGATGAGACTGGTTACAGACAGGCAGCTTTTTTAGGGACCTCAGAGACCAGAGGTGAGCTGGGCTCAGGAACAGGCACCACAGGGCAGCCCACAGCTGGGACAGCTTCAGGTGACACCACTGTCTGGACACACGAGTGCGGTGCTGGCGAGCCTTATTTCTCTCCAACAGACCTGAGGCAGAAGTGGCAAGTCGCCTGTGCCTGCGCGTGGTAAAGCTGCCCCATTTCTTCATGCTCTGGCCAGGGAATACCAGGGCTTCTCAGCAGAGATCACACATCAGGACTGTGCCTGGCCTGCACCTCTCACACTCCCCACTCCTAACTCTCAGAGGCTGAGCTATGGGCTTCCACAGCCTCACACACAAAGGACCACAATGCCACCACCTCTTTTTTTGCCTCTAGTTATTCCTATATGAATACATATTCCATTTCTCCCCATTTTAGCTTTCTTCCACTCATTGAGGTTCATAGCTTCTTCAGCTTAAGAACCACTGGTTCTCAAACTTGACTATACGGTTATCAGAACCATCCAGAGGGCTTGTTAAGCACAGGTTGCTAGGCCCCACCCATCCCCAGTGCTTGTGATTTGGCAAGGCTGGGGCAGGACCTCAGAATTTACATTTCTGACAAACTCACGGAGACCACACCCTGCAGACTTCTGCCTTGGTTTCACTAGAATGGAAAGATGCCATGGGGAGAAACAGGTGATCCAACGTGGCCCGTCCAGAGACACTGGATGTCCATGCATCCCGTCCGCAAATGCTTCCAATTGGCAAAAGAAGAGCTAGTCTAGCTATTAACAAGTTCTGAGCACTGGATATCATATAAACTTAAAGATTTTTAAAAGTCATGTTTGTCAAGTTATTATTCAAAGTTTTGGGTACAGTAATAAAATAAACCCTTCTGTTAATATCTTCCTTGCTTTTCTCTTTATCTGAAGGGGTGTCTGAAGATGAATCCAAATGACAGATTAACCTGTGCCCAACTCCTGGAGAGCTCCTACTTTGACTCTTTCCGAGAGGAACAAATTAAAAGAAAAGCACGTAATGAGGGAAGAAACAGAAGACGTCAGCAGGTACCTCCATTCAAAAGTTAAAATGCTGTACAAAGGGTTCTTTTATTTGTTTTTTTTATCTTTCAAAATGAGATCAAGACCTTTTCTTTGCCCTGGGTTAGTTGTGATTGATGTAATAAAATCATAGAACTTGAGAATATCTAGATTGTTGCAAATCTTATTCCAAAAACACTGGAATCAAATTATTGCGCAACTCCTTGGCTACACTGATTGGGTCTGCCAGCTGCCAGATCACATACCTAAGAAGCAACAGCTTTGCACAGTAGAACCCTGATGAGGACAGGACCGAGTATCGCCATCATGATTAAGGAATCCCAGGACCTCTGTGTAGCATCCAGACCCCCAGCATTGGAAACGTGACTCTTTTCACCATCTCTTCACCCATGTTAGGCAACTTAACCCATGAAACCAAGGACAAGCTCTGGTAGATACAAAGGGGTGAAACCAGACACCCGGGAGCTAGATCCTGCCTGACAAGGGGCCAGCATTGCAGAGCAAGGTAGTCAACAATAGTTCGGCAGTTTGATAGACTGTCCTTCCTTCATTGGTTTCAGAAGACTTTGAAAACATAAACTCCATGGAAGGAGGTTTTGTTTTGGTTTAGATCCCCCCCCATCTTATATACCCAGTATCTAAAATAACCTGACACATAGAAGGTACTAATGAATATTTTTCCAATGAATAAATTGGTGAGCATTGCTTACTAATAAACCACGTTGGTGATTTTCAGTTTGTCAGGGCTAATGATTGTCATGTTTTGCATTTGCCCCGTCTTCAACTTTTGATCTAATTTTTTGGTCCTTTATTTTCTCATCAGCATGTTTTCCCTAAGGGAGGAAAGCAGTCTTTTTCTTCTGACCAATGTTTTTCTTAAGAAATATTTATGTTTTTATTTATTTGAAAGAGTTACAGAGAGAGGTAGAGGAAGAGGCAGAAAGAGAGAGAGGTCTTCCATCTGCTGGTTCACTCTCCAAATGGCCACAACAGCTGAAGCTGAGCTGATCCGAAGCCAGCAGCCTTTTCCAGGTCTCCCACGTGGATGCAGGGGCCCAAGGACTTGGGCCATCCTCTGCTGCTTTCCCAGCTGCATGAGCAGGGAGCTGGGTCAGAAGTGGAGCAGCCGGGACTCAGACTGGCGCCCGTATGGGATGCCGGTGCTGCAGGGGCGGGCCTTAACTCACTGCACCACAGCGCCGGCCCCTCTTCTGACCTCTAATAGTTCAAATAGAAGTTTGTTGGGAGATAAAGATCAATTAATCAATAAGATGAAAAATTATTTGAATACAAAGTTTCTGGGTATCCAAAATTTTCTTAGATTTGCTATTTTACCTTTCATTGTTAATCACTTGCACATCCATCCCAATGCTGTGTAAATAACAAAAAGATTAGGTTTATTCAAGTAAGTCTGAGGCAGCAATAATAAATACAATCTGAAATACAGTGTGAATTGGGTGTGGAAAGACCTCATCTCCTTAAAAATATCTCACCTCCTCCCCACAACTGATAGAGGATGTCACTGCCCAGACCACTTCTCCCTCTTCCCTCGTTCATTGTCCATGCCACCACCTTTGCCCACACTCACCTCTGGGGGAGAAGGGTGCTGCTCTCCCTTTTAGGCTCCATTACACAGCTGTGCCACCTTTGCTCTTCAGAGCCCCTCTGAGACTAGTCAGGGACTTCACAGAAAGCCTTCCAAGAGCTGGGGATGACAAAAGAAAAACACGGCAGCTTGCTTAATGATCTTTACAAAGATCACGAAGGTTCCCTTGGCCTTAGTACAGTGTGTCCTGTCCACCGCTGCGTGATGGGCCCCAGCACAGCACCCACCAAGGCCCCCCGCCTAGACGGCTCCCTCCTCCAAGTCAGGTTCCCAGCAATCAAGGCCGATGTGCTTCAAGTTCTCTTTTTCTTTCTGAGGATGCACCTCTTCCTAGACATTTTACCATACCAGAAAATAAATGGAAAGTTTTGGAAAGATCTTAGAATCCAGTGTGAGTTCAAATTTCTGCCTGGATCCCAACTTTTAGATCTCTGGGTGGATAACAGTTTCCTTAAGACTAAATAATCTTAACACTAATGGATAAATAAGTTGATAGTAAGGATTTCGCCAATATCCTGGCTATTCACAAGTAGAGATGAGTGGGATAGGGACCCCAGGAATCACTGCTTAATAGCCAGCAGGCATCCTTTAAACACTGACTAGATGCTCACAAGAAAACGTTTTGGAATAAATAATAGTGCACCCATGAGAATCCTAGAATAAGTGATAGGAGCTGATTTTCAGGTCTCGCAGGATCACAGGTTTCTGGAAAGGTCACCAAGTTTAATTTTAAAATTGATATCTTGTTGACGTCTTGGTACAGTATCTCTCTTCTTGTTGTTGTTTAACCACCTTTAACTCAACCCGTGTCTATATAGAAATTTTCAATTTGCTCTTTTATTTTTGTCTTGTTCTGCTATTAGAATCAACTGTTGCCTCTCATACCAGGAAGCCACATCTCCCCCACACCTGATGGAAGAAAACAAGTCCTCCAGTTAAAATTGGATCATCTTCCAAACATTTAGGAAAATGTTCTTTCAAGTGCAAAGTAATTTAATATGTACACATTTTTGTACGAGCGAGATAGGGATTCTCAGTGTTTCAAATGCAAATTAGCCATATGAAAATTAAGATGCCTTCTAGAATTGTTTTGCTGTGATCGTTGCTGATTCCTCTCCCGTGCTTTCTCCATGCCAATTTTCTCTTTTAGCACATTTCTTTAAGTGTTGTAAGGCCTGAAACTGCACATTGGGAGGAGACATTTTCACTCTCAGCAGCCCTTCCGGAGGCAATTTATATTGGAAATTTGTGGACTTATGCCTCGCTTTATGAGAAAGATTTGCATATATCACCTTGCTTCAGCAGACCACAAAGCATCTTAAAGCAATATCAAATAGCCTGTCTTGCTGTTGTTTGTGTAATGAATGACATTATGTTCCTGCATTTTAATTCCCTCTACTGTTGAGTAATGCTGGCATTTTTTTTCACATTTGACATTGATGTAGAAAGGGAACCTTGCAAGGTCATGCAGGTTTATTCTTTGATTCCATGGAAGATTCTAGTTTTTCTCTCATGAGACATTGACGATTCTATTTTTAAAGCTAGTTAGAGAAAATTCCATACGAATTCCATATATAGCAAATCATGGATGAATGACAGGAAGTCACCATCCTCATGACAGTGCTGCAATTGAATAGTTGGCCGCTGACCCTGATGCTCTCCTTTGGCGGTCAGGACTCTGTCCTTTTCTCCTGGCTGACCCTCTCAGTGCTGAGAGCAGTCCTCCTGGGCGCGGTGTTTAAATCATTTATTGCCATTCCTCTTCCAAACAGTCGAATCCGTAGCCTCTGTGAACTTGTGCAACCCTCAACTTAGTGACTGCATCATAATCAGATTGGGTTTGTAAATTCTGCTAAGAGCAGGACTATCCTTCTGTCAATTGCATTATGTATCCAGAAACTGCAGAAAACATCTAATAAGTGAGCTGAATTTACTTTGGGTTCTTTTCCCAAGGAAGCGTAACATCTGTCTGTCTATGTATAAGTGTATGGAGATATTAGCTATATAAGTGTATACTTAGAAGTTTTGAAGTATCATAGTGGATGTCCTCTCTGCCGGACATCCACAAAGAAAGCAGAATGTTGGAAAGTGCTTTTAGTTTGCTCTCAAGGAACTTGTGTGAAATAATAGCCCAAGGCTGCCTGTCACTGTCAGGCAAAATGGCTAAAAGCAGTGGCGTTCCTGTGAGCAAAAATGAAGAGCATTTCATGAACTCTTGCCTGCTCCGGGGTCTGGCATGCTTACCTGAATGTTGTCAGATTTCACAGGTGCACATTATCCCAGAAATCTCTGGTGTCTGGCCCCAGGAGTGAAGCATGTACTGCTAGGGAAACACAGTAACATCTCTCAGAATCTGCATTTGTGAATATGGCAATGGAAACTTCCAGTGAACCTCGGTTATTCAGGAGTCTCCATTTACTAAGAATGAATGGCAGCTAAACAATAGTTTCTTGCCTGCTGGAGGGACTTCAGGGAGCTTATTTGGCAAATTTCACAGTTTTAGTATGCGTAGAAGCTGATAGGGCCTCCTTATTCTCACCATGTTAGCAACAGTGTGCCTCCGCAGATGTGTTCGTTTCTTGGATTTTTAACAGGATGGTACCACAGGCACAAGGAAAATGAAGAAGAAAAGATAAAAGGCGACTTTGCTGGAAGATTTCTTTTTAGCTTTCATAGTGGGGTTTTTTTGTTTTGTTTTGTTTTCATGTAAACCTTCTTATTACCAAGCCTCTCACATCCTCACTGGTCACTGGTCGTCGGTACACACAGATAATATGTAATATATATGTGACGTAATGCACATACACACGCATGTGTGTGCACATAGGAAATTGGAAGACAGCACGTGACTGCATTACCCATTTTTCTCAGAATCATGCTTCAAACAATTGAGTCTTTGGCAGGGATTGGTGAAGTGACTGTCTTCCTTTTTTTTTTTTTTTTATAGCATTCAGGCATTTATTCAAACTAACCTTCCTCTTCCTCATTGTTTTTGCTTAGACAAATCCACCCCTCAGGCATCACTGGGGAGGAGAGAGGAAGAAGCATCTAACACTTATAAAAATGTTCTGACGCAGGCACATTGCTGTGAAGGAAAATAATCTTCTGAGAGCATCCGCCAGTGGGGCGGACCCTGGGTGACCCCGGGCCACCTCGCCTGGCCGCTGCCCGTGTCACTCAGGGACACAGGTCCCGAGCTGCCACTCGTTGTTTCTGTTTCAAGTGCACCCCTGGGGCCTCCGTGCTACACGGATTCGCTCACACTCCTCGGTCCCATGGAGGGGACTTGCACTTCAGTGTCCAGGGTCTGGATTCAACCCCGACTTTTGTAAAACTCAGCTTGCCCCAGGCCTCTTCGCAGAAGCCCACTTACTTCTGTAACCAAGCATTTCCTGCAGCCTCTGGTGCAGTTTCTGGCTCACCTGGGTTGCGTCTCACCCCTGCCAACTTTCAGGCCTTTTAATTTCTTTATATAGCTCTTTCCTGATGCTGTCCAAAAATTGCACCGTCACAGCGAGTGATGCCACCGGAGCACTTCTCTGTTCCACCTGTGCCTGACCTCTCCACACCCTGCTCAGTGCATCGCACCTTCCGTACCTGCGTGCCTGCTCAGTCCCCATGAGGTTGTTTTGCTTTGGGGTTTTTTTTTGTTTGTTTTTTGTTTGTTTGTTTTTGTTTCTGTTTTTTTTGTTTGTTTGTTTTGTAGAGCACTTCTCAGGCCATTTAAAATGCAGACTTCTTAGCTCCATATAAGAGAACATGAAATTAAACCTCTCTCAGCCAGAGAAGCTGTGGGCCTGGACTTGGCCTTGCACCTGTTGCGGTCCTGGTGGTTATGTGAATGTGATTGTTCCAGCTTCTCCAGCCACGGAGCCCTTGCAGCAGGTGACTTTGTGAAGATGACTGTAACTGGTTAAAGAATCACTATGGGCTTCTGAATCCTTGGGATCGGAGAGATGGTGGAGTAAAGGGTAAAGCTCTTGATTAGGGAAAGAGTTGAAGGAGAAAGTAGAGTCTCCTTCTCCCGCTGCTCTTCTTTGCTCCTGCAAATTTCTGAAACTACAGTACATCAGATAATTAGTCAATTATTTTGCCTTTTTAAATTCCAAAGATGTTTTTTGTTCCCTTAGTCTCCTTGCCTTAGAAATATAATTTGTCAAAAAGTTGGCACTTTCTCAGTCATTTGTCACCACCTGTGATTTCCAATCCTGGTTTTGGAACAACTTGAATGGCAAAAGCATTCTCCACAAAGAAAGTGATTTTTATAATGAAAAGATACCACCAGAAGAGGAATGATGCTTCAGTCCCACTAACAGCAATGTCTTAAAAACACTGGGGTGTCAGTGTAAAGTATTAAGTGTAATTGCAAGCACACAGATTGTATGCATGTACTTAACACGTAAAGATAAATGCCGCTTACAAGTTAATGTTCTACGTGTTTGTTTTCTGTTAAAGTCATTAACTCAACCACTTCATTCTTGTTTTAGCAGAAGACTAACCACCTGTAAGAGCAATGGATAGAGAATAAGACAACACTTAAGGGCAGGTGTTGTGCTGCAGACAGTTAAGCAGCTTCTGGGGGCACCTGCATCCCTTGTCCAAGCACCTGATTTGGTTCCTGGCTCCTCCACTTCAGATCTAACTTCCTGCTAATGTGCTTGGGAGGTAAAGAGTAGTGGCCCAACTCCTTGTGTCCCTGCCACCCATGTGGAACCTGGGTGGAGTTCCTGGCTCCTGGCTTCAGCCTGGTCCAGCCCTGGCTGTTGCAGGCATCTGGAGAATGGACCTGTAGATGGAAGATCTCCCTTTCTTTGTCTCTCCTTCTCTCTCTCTGTCACTCAGAGGAGGAGGAGGAGGTAAACAAAGGAAGAAAGGAATAAAAGTAAAGATCACTTGGCCTGGAGGTAGCTTTTCTGTGCCTTTGTTTTCTAATGGGTAAAATAAGAGGAAAGATAACCTGGATGATTTCTGGGGCTCCCCCTTCAGCTCAAACCTTCTGTGATTCTCTATAGCACAGCGTTTGTGTCCTGAATGGATCTCCTGGTAGAAGAGGCTTTTCATTAACAATGCCTGGAGCTGGGACATAACTCTCTGTCTCTCCTGCTTGCTTTGTATTTCATTCATACACATGCTTATGGCTACAACCTACCTTGAGTTTTATCAGGTTCATAGTAGTTTGTAGACAACTGTCTAATAGAGGCTATATTTTATAAGTAAAAGTGGATTTTGAAGCTAATTATCACTTATTTTAATTAATGTAAATAAGACAGGTGTGCTTTTAACATGCCTAGTAATATGTAATGCTTCCTTGATGTGTTAATCTAACTCTAATTATTTTGGAAATGACACCTAATGCTGTCAAGTATTAAGACATCCATCAAGGCGGGGGACATAGAGTAACTTTCTAAGTTTAGCATCACTCTTAGTGATTTCTATAATTGATAACTTAAACGATTTCTACAAATACCTCTGAATTATACAGATTTTATATTTCAACAGCAGAGACTTGGGCTTCGTCATTTTTTAATTTGCACCCATCAGTTACCCAGGCTGAGAATTGGTAATCGTTTTCAACAGGCATATGTCTCCTGTTGTGAACCACTCTCCCAGACCATATCTCTAAATATTGTCTCAGTGAAGAAGCTGTGGGTCTACTTGGGATTTTAGGACATATTTGTATAGATGCAGATCTGCTTCAAAGCCCTGGAAATTGTAGATATATGTCTAGAATTTGATAATAAGCAGAAGGCTAATTAAAGCTAATTTAAACTACTATAAATAATTCATTATGCACTTTAGTTGTATTATGTTAAACATATGTAATATTATGGTGTTTCTAAAAATTTAGCTACAGATATTTAGAAGGCCTACATAGGGGTGGTCAAGTATTTTGATAACCGTACATCAGTGTATATAACTTAACCTGAACATGTTCTTTAGCTTATTTTAATAAAAGTTATAAATATTTCTGTTTCCTAATTACTATTCAACTCAACTATTATTTCATTGTCTAATACTTTGTATTTAAGTGAGGAAAAACTGTCATCTTCATATGTAAATTCCAGAACTTGTTTTTTAATTTCCTGTTGGTTGGAATGTCTGAGCAGCTGGTGTGGCAAGCTATTTTTTTTGTGTGTGTCTTGGGTTGGGAATTTTTACAATTTGGAAAAACTAACAAAATCTTTTCCAGTCTGACTAGCTAGCTGCTTATCCCCAAGAACATCTAACAACTGTATTTTGAGTCTGTGAGATCCTTTTTTTCAATTTATCAAAAATTTTTCTGTAACTGTTTATAATACTTAGCTACAGGATATGAAAATTTCTTGAATCTTTAATTCCAAATTCTCACTTGTGTTTCTGTTGTGAGTTTAAAAGATAAAAAGGCTCAATACACTCACACTAGTGATCAAAAGACAGAAAAACCATTAGTAAAATAAAGGAAATAGTCCTATTTTACGTGGCCCTCCCCCCCCCCTTTTTTTTTTTTCATTTTATTTGAAAGGCAGAGAGAGACAGAGATAGTTCGTCCATCTATGGCTCACTCCCCAAATGCCTGCAGTAGCTAGGCCGAAGCAAGGCGCCTGGAACTCCATCCTAGTCTCCCATGTGAGTGGAAGGGACACAAACACTTGAACCGTCACCTGCTGCCTCCCATGGTGGAAGGGACACAAACACTCGAACCATCACCTGCTGCCTCCCTGAGTGCTCATTAACAGGAAACTGCATTGGAAGCAGAGCTGGAACTTGAACCCAGGCACTCCAATACTGGTATCCCAAGTGGTGTCTTAACCACTATTGAAATGCCTGTCTCAGATCTCTATTTAAATATGTTTCAGGGGCCCACGTTGTGGCTTAGGGGGTTCAGCCTCTGCCTACAGCACCAGTATCCTATATGGGTGCCCATCCCAGCAGTCTCAGCATCCCTACTGATGGCCTGGGAAAGCAGTAGAGGGTGGTCCAAGTGCTTGGGTCCCTACACCCACGCAGGAGATCCAGAAGGAGCTCCTGGCTTCTGATCAGCCCTGTTCCAGCCATTGCAGACATTTGGGGAGTGAACCAGCAGATAGAAGCTCGCTCTCTCTGCCTCTCCCTCTCTATGTCTGTAACTCTGCTTCTCAAATAATAAATCTTATTTAAAAGTTTTAATTTTTAAAATTTATTTGAAAGAGTTACCGAGAGAGAAATCTTCCCTCTGCTGGTTTACTCCCCAGATAGCCACAATGGCGAGAGCTGGGCCAGGCCAAACCTAGAATCCAGGAACTCGTGGGTGGCAGGGACCCAAGCACCTGGGCCATTTTCTGCTGATTCCCCAGGAGCATTAGCAGGGAGCTAGGTTGGATGGGAGTGGAGCCGCTGGGCCTTGAGCAGGTGCCTGTATGGTCTGCCAGCATCTCAGGCATTGGCTTACCCCACTTATACCACTGTATCAGCCTCTGTTGTTTTCTTTTGAGTTGACCTTTCTGCTTTCACTGTCTTTAACGCTGCTTGTGTTTAAATGAGTATAGTCGATGTTTTCCGGTGATACCTGCAACAATGTCTCCCATCCTATGTGTCATTTGCATTGATGCTGCTCCATGCCTTTTATTAAGAAGTGAAGTCTGCCTCATCCCTCTGCACCCTGGGTCCAGGCTGGCCTCGTGATTTCTGAGTCACATTGGGTGTAGAGGAGGTGAAGCTGTCCACTTCTGGGCTGAGCCCCCTGAAAGCCCTAGCATCCCCTGCCTTCTCACTTGGTGGAATCCAGCCACCATGCTGCAAAGGACCTTAAGCTGAACTAGCAGGACACCACGTTGAGACAGAGGTCACTGGCAGAACACCCAGGGGCCAGACGTGTGAGTGAAACCTTCCTAGACCTTTCAACTCAGCACAGCCAGCAGCCAGCCAAGTATAGACAAATGAGTGTCCTGAGCCAGCGCCGAGTCTAGCAGGGTGACTGCCCTGCCGAGCCCAGTCAACCCTCAGGATTGGGAGAAATAACAGATCGTGCTACTGCAAGCCTCTGCATTTGGGGATGATTTGGTGTGCAGCAGTCAAGAACAGAAGCAGAGTATATTTTTAAAAAGCCGAGCATTAGCAGTTGAACGCATGTTCTATCTATGTGCTTCTACTGCCCTGGCATGCCGTATCAGAATGTAGGTTAGAGTCCTGGCTGCTCAACTTCCAGTTCATCTCCCTGCTGATGTGCCTAGGAAAACAGCAAAAGATGGCCCAAGTACTTGGGCCCCTGCCACATGGGAAACCTGGGTTGAATTCCAAGCTCTTGGCTTCAGCCTGGACCAGCCCCAGCTGTTGTGGCCATGTGGCAAATGAACTAGCTGATGGAAGATTTCGCTCACTTTTGCCGTCTCTGTGTGTGTGTCACTCTGTCTATCAAATAAATAAATCTTTTAAAAAAATAAGGAATAAGGTCTGATGTTGTTTAGCCTAGAACTCTAAGTATATTTGAGGGAATCTAAAAATCACTGGCCCCTGCTACCCACTGGTCTATCTCTGTGTTTGGATCTTGTTTGTCCTATCAAGGCGGCTGTTCTTCCAAGGGGAACATCGTCTTTTCATAAAATGCGTAGCCATCCTGTGGAGAAGTGCAAGGCATCATGATGAAGAAACACTCCAGACATTATATTTACCAAATAGAAGCTACAGCACGTGTCTGTGTTCAACGGCTGAGTGGGTACCAGACTGTTAGCTTTCTGGCTATGACCCCAAGAACAGCCAGTCCCTTTTGGTCCTGATGCGGGTTAACCATTGCTCCCCCTGCTTCCTCCCGGGCAGCAGACTCGGTGAGCGCTTCTGAGCTGGGAGGGAAAAGCCTCCTCCAGTTGCACAAGAAGGGAGAGTGCGGGATGACCGGCGCCACGGCCTTACCTCTTCCTCTTTCTATTAGGAAGCCTTCCAACTGGAGGTCAGGTTTTGGCCTTGCCACTTACAGGTCATCAGCGCGTTCCACTCTAAAACGAGTAGTACTGCCTACCACGTGAGGTGGTTAAAAGCATTCAGTGAAACAACTGCATGAATAAATTTTGTGATACCGAAAGTTATATAAATATATTGGTCTGTTACCCTCTAAAACATCTGATTGCATTAACATCTGCAGTTAACATTTGGTTCCTTTACAGGAGAGCATTTGACCCAACAGTTAAGATGCCATTTGGAATACTCACATCCCTTATCAGAGTCCCTGGGTTTGAGTCCTGGCTCTTCTCCCCATCCAGCTTCCTACTAATGCACACCCTGGGAGGCAGCAGATGATGGCTCAAGTACTAGGGACCCTGTTACTTACATGGGAGACCTGAACTGAGTTTCTGGCTTCAGCCTAACCCAGGCCTGGCTGTTGCAGGCATTTGAGGAGTAAACCAGCAGATGGAACACCTCTCTCTCTCTCTCTCCATTTTTTTTAAACATTAAAATTATGGAGCGAGGGAGAGAG